TTAAACCACAAGGGGGAGGTGGGCGATTAAAAATTATTCATTAATGATAGATTAAAAATGTCTTTATTTCTTAAGAATGGAATGCGAATTTGGATCCCATGAAGATTAAATGTTGGATTAGGTTTGTCTATTTAAGTTTGGAAATACATTTTCCATATAGTATTTTAATTTGAACCTAGTGCTTGAAATTATTATATAATTTAAATAATGAAAATTAAAAATTTTACATTATTGAATGTTAAATTTTTTCGTGAAGTAAAAATTTTTTATTCCAAAAGGGTAAAAAAATTATTTTGCTTTTAAGTCAAGTGAAAGTATTAAATTCTTATTATAATTAATTTAAAAGGGAGTACTTGAACTATATTCTAGTTAATTCATTAATGCAAATTTTTTTTCTTGGCTTATTTCATTATTATTCTTGACGTATTGAAAATTAAGCTTTATTAAATTAAAAAAAACAGCACATTTAAAGGTTTTCTTATATATTTTTTAAAATCTTTTAAATAAATGAAAAGTAGTTAATATAAAAAACTTGTTTAATGAACTAAAAGGAGTTTTTTTTTAATTGAAAGATTTTTTTCTTAAATTACGAACATGTGGTTAAATAATTCTTAGTTATTTGAATTACTTTATTTGAAATGCAAAAAAATAATTATAAGAGTAAAATATTAAATGAAATTTCCTTTTTTGACGGGAATTATGATTTTTTCCTATTTAAATCGGTAATGTTTTTAGATAAAAAGCAAAACTGTGATGCAAAATAATATTTCATGGGAATTAAAATTACTTTGTTTTAAATACGGTCAGAAGTTTATTATAATAGCATATATTAACAACAGTATAATATTATATTAAATTAATAGTATTAAATTATATCAAATACACAAAATGAAATTGTTTATGACACTATTATATAAAAAAAATTTCATTTCCTGTAATAAAAATTATCAATAGAAAATTATGTATTTTGAAATTAATTATTACTATTATGTATTTTGAAATTATTATTAATTATTAATTAACGTATTGTTTTGATTTAAAAGTAAACTGAGCAGAGAAATAATTTTTTTTTATGTTTAAAATATAGAATTTCTCAGAAAATATATATTTCTTAAAAATTTTAATTATTTTTTGTAAAATTAAGAAAGAGAAGGTAAATTTCTTTAACTTTCACATTATTTTTTAAATTTAAATCGGTAATATTCTTTTATTCAAAAGCAAAACTATGTTAAAAATTTATATTTTTTATGTTTAAAACACAGTATTTCTTTGAGAAAGCATTCTTCAGAAATTGGAACTACTTAGATTGAAATACAGGCAGAAGTTAATTATAACAATACATAAATACTGTAAAATTTTAAATAAAAATTCATGTCCGTTAACATAAATTATGATTTTTTTTTAAAACGAGAATTGGTAAAGGTTTGTATTCAAGACTATAACTTTTCTATAAAATAAATATTTCTACTGCTTAAAACTAATAATACACCTTTAAAAAGCGCGTATTCTTATTTTCAGAAGTAAATTAATTTTGACTGTATAATAAATAGATTAAATCATTTTTATAATAACTGTAACACCCACTGTACAATTATCATGAAATATAGATATAACTATCAACAATGACAGAATTCCGCATTGCACATATTTTTCTCTCTATTTTTAATGTTATTGATGCTTCTATGGAGCCATTCATCTAGCTCTGTCCCTTTGGTGGCCATTTTCCCTAACTATAGGGCAGAACTGTCAATTATATGTTGCTTTACAACCACTACTTAATTCAGAGCCTGAAGCTCGTCAGCTATTATGGTCTCCACCCTAAATCGGTTGCCTCGAAAGGGAACTTTTTCATGCTTGTCCCTGTTTTTTTCCCGAAATAGGGAAAAAAATTTAGATATTATTTCTTTCAAAATGTGTGTATATTTTTATGGGGTGAAAAAAAAATCTGGTAAAATTGCCGTACATAATGACATTCCTGGTAAAAAAACAGCATAATTCTGGAGATAAAAACCAAAATATACGGTATTTAAACCATTCATTTGGTAACGGTTTACCGGAAATTCTTATTTTCAAAATTATAGTTCTTATCACCCACATTTAGTAAAAAATACAAAACTGAAAAGTAAATATAACCGAATAAATAGTTTTTATTTTATGCTAATAAAATTAACTAATTTTACCGCTGATATTTTAAGACCATAATTTTTTAATTTTACTAAAATCATTACAAATACTCTTCGTTCTCATAGAGACAAATCATATTCAGGATGCTTTGACCATACTTTTTTTTCTCAGTGTACTTTTTGAATTTCAAAAATTAATAATAAATATCTTTGTCAATTTTTAGGTGAATACAATTAACAAAAATGTAGAACAAATTTTTCTCATTGTTTTTAGGCAATTTTTCATACTTTTTTTTTAAGAATTTGAAAATGACTTAGAACGATCTATAATTTTAAGTTTTTCAAAAATGAAATGAAGAAAATACGCAATAGAACATAAAAGGTAACTTAGTCGAGTTGAAAGTTTGTTTAACTCATATAATTAATTTATTCTATAAATTTGTTTACAAATTTAAAAGTAAAATTAAATGCAATATAAAAGACGCAACAATTATAATAATGAAAAAGGAAAAACTTGATCAGTGACATTTACAGAAACGAGTTCATTTATTTTTAAGTAAATTTGTAACAAAAATTCCTTTATTAAGCTCAACTAAACCTAATTCTTTTCTTTAAATTTTATTTTTCTTGTATTTGAGAAGTCAAAACTGAGGATTATTATTTTGAGTTTTAATAATTGAAACTAAATAAAAAAATAAACACATTGAAATTAAAATTTGTCAGACTAAACTTAATTACATTTTTATTACAATTCATATAACATTTCGAAAGCATGATTTATTAATGTCAGAAATTCGCTAACATATCCGCGCAGTATTCAAAAAGGGAAAAAATAAATCCCTAAGCTCTAAGTATATTCCCTAAACCTCACAGGGAAACTTATATCCCGCAGCAAGGCTGTCAGGAAATATTTATAAAGCACACGGCAGATTATTATGTTAGGATAGATTAAGACAGGTTCGCCACATCCTTGGGAATCGAGAAATATAGCTCACTGCTTTCAAATTTGTGCGATGCGTCGTTTCAGAAACAAGGCTAAAATAATAATACGTAAAAAAATGAAAAGAAAATTTGAAAAATTGCAGACGATAAAAACATAGTTGGCAGAGTTCTTCTCAACTCTACACCGTTCTTCATTACGTAACAAGTTTCAATGTGTTCTGAATAATGTAATTTTGAATTTGCTTAGCTGTCTGCTTTAAATAAATGTTCGCCTTAAAGGAAATTCGTCGATTTCGAATTTATACAGAAAAATGAAAATTAAACGCTGGTTAAATTATTATCAGATTTTTCTTTTTTAGTTATAGATAAAAAACACTTTAAAAATTCCTTGCGGAATTTGGACTAAAAAAATATTACTTAAATGAACGTTACATAATATTGAATTGATTTGGTATATTACGAATTTATAGTGAAACAGTGATTAGTAAAATTTTTTCGGTTCAGCTTTAAGCTTTACTTTTTCAGCTAAAGTGTAACCTAACATATTTTTAACAGCATTTTCAAAAAAATGATAAAATATTAAACACTAAAAATATGTAGAAACCTTTTGACATATCTTTTTTTCTTCTTTGCAATCTCTTGCGGTATATAATTTATAACAACTGTGTAATTCGTCATAGTTTTTCGTTCTTAATGAAACTCAACTTTTTTTTATTAATATCAACATGGGGATAGATATAAAGTTATTTTTTAACGGTCATAAGGATACCTTAAGGAAAGAAGAATCCAAGGAGGAATTCATTATTTTTAAGGATATATTTTTAAATTTTTCTACCGATTAGAAGTCAATAAAACATCATTCAATTAAGAAATTTTTTTAATTCTTGTTCTTTTCAATAAGTAATTGTAAAAATAACTGCATATTTTTCACGGAAACTATTGATGTGCGTGTATACACTGTTAGAAGTTTCTCAGAAAAAATGGTTAAATAACAATTTATTTAATTGTTATTTTACCATATTCAAACGAAACAGTCAAATAACCACAAATAAGATGGCATTTAAACTGTTTCATATGAGAAAAATCGTTTATTAACTGTTTTCAACTTATACGGTTAAGAAACCAGAACTTTATCGCAGCGGCCCACCTAATGAAGTCTCTGCCAATCTCATATCCTACGGAACGAGTGTTCGAATTCCAGTGTTGACACTACATTATTTTCTCCATTCTCTTCAACACATAAGGAGTTTCCTGTGTCCTGAACTGCCGCAATTGTGACCCTGGACTAATAGAATACAATACTCTCATTCACGCATAGATGGCAGCACCATAAGGCTGTTAACCATTCTGTTTCAAAACCGTAAAAGTAAAAAAAAAAAGTTCTTTACTGTAAACTGCAAGGTTAATTATATGGACATTGAAAATTCTAACAGTGTCAGGTTCTTCAACCGAATCAAAGGTAATTTTGTATCTACTGAAATATTTCAGTTTTCGGTGTCAAGGCATTTTATTAAAACTTATAATTTAATTTTGAATTTTAATTCTTAATTGAACTGATAAAATCTCAAGAGTTGAATCCAAAACTATTATTCAGGAGTTTTTTTTTTGCAACAGAAGTGATGAAAAATATCTTCCGCAATTTCATTTATTTTTTAAATGAAATTATTTGTCTTTTATAATAGAAATAACAATCAAAGAAAATAATATTAAAAACGAGACATATCACACTTGAATACTGACAAAACCAAATAAAATATTGGTTTTAAGATTCATGTTCTGCATTTCCACCAATGATAGATAAAAAAAAGATAGATTTTTCATAATTTTAAACTAACACTGGTTCAAACTTTACATTAAATACATAAATAGTATTCATATGTATTAGTACAGCATGTAAATTGATTTTCTTCACAACAAAAATCTATCTAGTCTTACCTTTAATAACAGATTTTCTTCTTAGGCATAGTATAATGATAATTGTTATGGATACTATGAAGACAATTCCTCCTATGACACTGGCAAGAATTATTAACATTGGTAGATTTTCTAAAAAAAAAATATATAAATTTAGTGATGCTAATAAACAAACCGAAAACCAATTTATTGTAAATACAAATTAAATAAAAAGAACTTCACAATGAGAGTTATAAAATACTTTTTTTAAAAAAACTCGTAACAATATTCTATTTATGCTCATATTCCCAAGAACTTATAATTTAATTTGATATAAAACATCCAGCCAAATCGTCTAATATTATAATATATTTCTAAAAAGTTAAGAATAAAATATTAAATTGCGATCATGCGAAAGAGGTAAAATTTTTAAAAAGGGTAGCTGATAAGATATGAAGACTGTTATCAAGATTATAATTTAATTACATGATAACAAGATTATAACGGAACCTTTCTCGGTTTGAAATGAATGATATATTGAAACGTAGGAGGACACAAGCCGAATAAAAAACGCAAAATATAATCAAATTTAATTGGCAAAATTCTTATCAGTTGGAAACACTAATTAGAAGTACAAATGATAACTTTTGGAACAGTAAGGAATAAAATTAAGAAACTTTATGAAAATAAATATAATATACTAAAGAAAATACTGTTCAATTTTCATACTATCTATATTTTTTGTATAGAGGAACTCGTTTAAGGGATCGTCCTAAGGTATGCCGTAATTTTTTTCTTTATATTTTTGCATATTATTGTTGAAAAGATATATAAAAAATTGTGGTAAATTTCATAAAATTCCAGATATTTCGCCATTAGCTTTGGGAAAACATTTGGCCATTCGCTTCTAACATCAGGTCCATAGCCAATTCAACAGAGTGGGGGCTACATCCTTCATTTACCTCTCTAGAAGATCGTTTAAAAAAATCTTATCCAATAAAGTGGATGATATTTAATTTTTTGTTTGAAGTTTTAATATTTAGCTAAATATTACTCACAGAAAAAACTTGTGGTAAAATTACCGTACTGTATGGTAATGATATTTTTGGTAAAAAAAACAACAACATAATTCTGGTAATAAAAAACAAAATATACGGTATTTAAACTATTCTTTTAACAATTTTTCCGTTCATTTGGCAACGATTTACTGGAAATTCTAGTTTTCAGAGTTATAGTTCTTATTATCTCACATTTAGTAAAACATACAAAACTGAAAAATAAATATAACCGAATAAATGGTTGATAAAATATCTAATTTTGTTCCATTTATCAAATTTTATCACAGATTATAAAACCATATTTTATTGTTAATTTTACTAAAATCATAACCATGGCGCTTCGGTAAACTTACCCAGCTTTTCGGTGTTCCCATAGAGCCAGAAATTCCATATTCTGGTAATTTTGACCATACTTGCTTTTTCAGTGTAGTTATAAAATTAATATTATCCATATTTATTGAAATATTTATCTGTACTAATATTTAATAAAAAAAGTATAGATGGTATGTCAAATATATAAGCAAATACAAACTAAAAAGTTTTCAATGAAAATTTTTCAGCAGTCAACACAGTTTTAGCTTTTTTCCAGTCACTTTTACTAGGCCAGTCATGCAGTTATGTTTATTTAGAAATTAATTAGAATCAGTTTCAAAGACAAAATAAAAATTTTATTGATTAAGACTGAAAAAAAAAAGATGTTAACACTCATAATTTGTTTAGAAATAAATGAGTAAAGCATCATTTTGATGAGACTTTGTTGCAAGAATTCTCAAAAAATCCCAATATTTTTCTTAAACAGAGGCGAATTTTTTAGTTTTTACAACACAATTCTGGTAGGTTTTTTTCCAGTCATTTTAAGTACTTTTACTAGATTAGTCATGCAGTTACGTTTATTTATAAATTAACCAAAAGCAGTTTTCAAAGACAATGTTTATTAAAATTGAAATACAAAACAAAACTCATCAGTGGTCTACAAATAAACTGGAAAAGTGTCATTTTGATGCGATAACTTTCCAGTAAAAATTCTAAAAAAAAATTCAAATTTTTTTCATTCGTTTTACTAAGAAAACCGCTTAGAAGAAGGAAGAAAAATGAACTTTTTTCACTCAGTAATCCGAATTTCGTGAAGATTGCGTGCTTCTTTAAATAAATAATAAAAAAAAGGTGATCCATTTCCTCCCACACAGGTCTCATCCATTTATAAATTTTATTTTAAAAAGGCTATCATCATGAAATAATGCAATATTTGAGGGTTCATAATGGCCTGTTCACGCCGTATTGGGCCTGTTCACCGAAAGATCATAAAAGCGTAAAATGAAAATGTTCTGCGGAGCGTATGGGCCTCATGGATAGTTTCTTAAGCTTAAAATCAGAATTTTGCGGTTCAGAGCGACTAAGGGAAGTGAGGTAAGGTGGGAGGAGACAGAAAAAGAAGAACGTTTTATTAATTAAAGAATGGATTTTAGAAAGAAGTGGATATGAATGATCTTTGAAATCGATTAATAACATAGATAGAAAACAGTAGGGAATTTAACTATAGGCTTTAGTACAAGTAAAGTGGGAGCAAGCTTAATGAAAGCTATTCATAACAGTTTGGAGATTTGAAAAAGAATTTTTGACGTTTAAAAAAGTGCTAATTATAGATTTTTTTAGACAAAACGAAATCGATATCATTTATCTAAATTTACAGTTTCCAAAACACAATGAAACAAAATGCCACTGCAGGTCAAACTTTGAAAGGAATTATATTTTACAATTGTAAAAATTGCTTTGAAGAAAAAACACGCAAAATGTTTTGAAAGCCTGATTTTGTACATTCATTTCTGTTGCTATAACAGTCGTACAACTAATTTTGTTATTGAACTAACAAAAGTGTAAAGATAGAAACGGTAAACGTTTGTTACAGGAATTATTGCAAAATATAGCGTAAAGTTTGCAAACAAATAAATAAAAATAGAGTATAAAACTAAGCATAGGTGTAATCAGTGGTTAAACATCACAATAAAACTTCTGGGTTACAACTTTAAATTAGTTTTTATGTCTAAACACGATATTCTATATTGCTATTGGACTTGCATTGTTTACAATAATACTTTTGCGATTTAACATTCAATTTGTAAATCCATTTAACTTTAGTTGAAAACACAATAAGCAGTTGGTAACACTCAAAACATGACAACTCCTTATTTGATATTAATCGATTTATGGCTCACAATCTTTAGAATTTTTAAAATACAGAATAATATTATTAAAGATAAAATTATGAGTAAATTTGAATGCAATCTCAATAATGAAATTTCCTAAAGTATCAACCTGTTCACACATCATATCGTAAACATAGTGTAATGCAGGGGCAAACCAGAAATTTCCAAGATTCTGTTCCAGTTTTAGAATTTTGTTATTCTTTACACCCAGTTAACGATTAATAGATTTCTTCAATCAAAATATGTAAGTAACCCCAGACTAAAAAACAAATAATTATATAATATTTTAGCTTCTTTAATAAAGCAAAAAGAAATTGGATGTCACTTTAAAATCCTTAAAAATTTTACATTTTAAAACAAAAGTTAAATGATTAACAGTTAATAAGTTAAAAGTTAATCGCGAAAATCATGTATAATTTGTCTATCGAAAGAACTACCCATGCCACAATATCTAAAGTCGCCTGATACTGTGTAAACAAGAAAATGCGCATTTTAAAAAGGGGAGCTTTTCTCTACCTTGATTCTCTGTTTCTTCGTTGACTCGAGCCGAAACCTGTCTTAAATATTTACCGAGGAGAGTTATTTCTTTAAAAAATTACAATATGCTTTTTAAACTATTTTTGTTTTCTATTTTTATGACAACTGGACAGTTTGTTTCGTTTTTCAACATTTAGATGTAGTGACGAAAATGCTTTTTTGCAAAATATTGCGTGAATTTTTTGAAAAATATATTTATGGTAATGTATATAACATAGCCTACGTATTTTTTCAGGTGTAACGAAAAAGTACACAATCTTATGTTTGAGTTTTCCATCCAAGTGAAATATTATGATTTAATTCCTTCAAAATTTCGGAACTGCAATAAATTATTTAACTTCGATTATCTTATAATATTAGATTGGAATTTCATTATTTAAAAAAATAATTCAAGTATGAATTGTTTACAAGCACCGAAAGATTGTTAAATCGGCTTAAAACGAAATTTATCTTAACCAGTTTCACTTATTTTTGACAAAAAAAACCCCCACAAAAATTTTAGTGACTAAATTTTATAAACTACGCAAATTTTTTGGACCTTTTAAGGGTTAACTTAGAAAATGAGGATTCAACACTTTTATAAAATTTTGAGAAATTATTATTTTGTCTTGCAGGCAATTTCACTTTAAATGTTTGTGACCAATCATATCGAAATCTAATTTCCTGTAAGTTTTAGTACAAAATAATACGACTTTTAAGTTGAAAATATTAAAGAGCTGTGTAAAAAAAGAATATATTCCTATTTTGAATTTTAATACCCTCTCATTTTGAAAACTGACTGATCCAACGATATCGATGAAAAACTAAACATAAGCAAAACATTATGCAAAACTAGTACTTTTTCCAAATGAAGTGTTGGTAGAACATTCTGGAATCCCGAACATCTATAGATGTTTAAAAAAGACTCATCAGAAAAATAATAATGCGACCATTAAAAGGAAAGGGAGAAAAAAAATGTGAAAAGAAAAATGTTTCAAAAATATTTTAATGACTTACCTAACACTGTGATTTAGATTTTTCCAACTAATAGCGAAAGTTTTGTGTAAGTCGTTTTGGAGTTGAATTTTAAATCCTTTTCCAACTGAGTCAGAGAAAACGTTGGGTGGGAAAAAGAAGGGGAAAAAAAAATCTGATCGAATACCCTTTTTCGAATGATGGAAGTAAAAGTCGGGGAGGGAGGATTTTGATTTTTGATGAAGTGACAAGGTCTGTTATCGTCACAGGGAGTTGTCTTTTTTTTCCCCACCATCACCGTACTATGGAATAATAATAATAATAAAGAAGAACTCAGATTTAAAAGTTCTGGAGATGATGAAGAATATCGGTCGATAGTTTTTATCTTATAACCATCAGTTTCATTCCAAGTTTATTTTTTCCGTGAATTTTTGCAATAAAAAGAAATCTTCAGAACTCGTGAAAAAAGAATAAAACGTCATTAATGTTTCCAGCAGTTTGCGTTAATTTTTTGTTGCATATTTTAGTTCAGTTTCAAAACAGAAATTCACAGTTGGAGATATTTAAGTACTAAGCCCTCATTGGTCCAGGACGAAAAAAATATTTCTAAATAAAAACTAAATGCATTCACATAAAAATGCCCAGTAAATATTTTTTAAGCGGAATAAAGTTAAAAGTTAAAAAATGTCATAGCAAAAATATTTGTAATTGAATTAAAGTACTCGTTATTTATAAAAAACATGCGCTTATTTATATAAATATATTTGTAAAGTGTTCTTTATATAAATTTAATAACACTGAATAGAATTGGTAATTATTAATTAATTTATAAAAAGAATGACGAAAAAACATTTCTGTAATACCTAATAAAAGGTATCAAACTATTTTATTAGTAATTTTAATGAATAAGGTTTCTTATTTTTCTGATATTGACATTTTTTACTATTTTAATTTTCTATCATCTTCATATATTTGTTTTTTCACAGTTTATTTCTTGCGTTTCTTATTTTGAACCTTGAAATAAATATTTTTCTTCATATTTTAATGAGAGTGTAAGCATCTTTTAATGTCTTAACTACCAAAAAATATTTTATAATTTTAAGAGAAAGATTAATTTTATAATTAATTGATGGAGTAAATTTAATTTAGTTAATTTGTTGAAAAAATTAATTTTAATGTTTATAAATTTTAAGATTTATCAGTTAAAATGTTTTTAAACTTGTATCTAAACTGTAAAAATAAATTTTAGACACGTTATTGATTTATTTTTTTTCTGTTTTTGATAATTATTACATAAATTTTTATTTTATTAAAATTATTTTCATTATTTCAAATTAATAGTATTGTTTAAGAATTTTTCCATTTTTAGCCATGTGGTTGAAGAGCATAATCTTTCAAAAGCTTTCTGAAAATTGTTTTTTGAAAATTTTTTTCAGTAAATATTGGGCATTTTAAAACAGGTCAATTACTTAGAAAATGAATTTAATTTTTGAAAATTCGTCCTGGTCGGTATTTTCTATTAGAAAACTTCAACCTCTTGGTTGAAAATAAGGACATTCAAAAAAAGTATTTCAAACATTTCTTCCACTAGTACAAACTGAGTCAATAAATAGTACCTTAAATTATTTTAAAAGATTTTGTATAAAAATAAAACATTCTACAAGTAACAAAGTTAAAACAAAGGCACAAAGTTTTCGTACCATTATTTACAATTAAACAAACAAAACGTTTTTTACAGCCTATTATTTATTTTGCATCAGTGATTCAGAGACTATACTATATGTAGATACCTATTAATATTAATATATTCATCACACTTCGAAATAAAATTTTTCCCTGAAGAATGTTTGAATAATTTAGCAGAAACATCAGAAAGAACATCTTCTTCTACTAGAAGAAACAGCTCGTTATTCTAACTGAATCGAGATCCTACCCTTATTCTGATACAACCCATCTAAAACCTCTAAACAGTGCCAACAATTAAAGATTTTACCCAGCGGGAGTTGTCGTAATTTGCATAAATCCCCTTTCGCTAGAAAAGTAGAATAATTAGGTACCAGGATGTGCGAGCCAGCACCTCTACGTTATTACCCTTATCTCATGAACCAAACATAGATGTTATCGTGGCGTAAAGTAGGAGAAACAGTTATGGGGAGTTGAGGGGAGTAGAGCTTCCTCAATGATAAAAGGTTTTCTCTTTGGCGAAAGTCCATTTCGGAAATATTGTACAGATTTGTGTGAAGTCAAACGAAAATTTAACATTGGAAAACAGCAAACGATAAGATGTTAAGATTTTTAATGTTCAGTTTCAATCGTTTTGCTTAAGTGAACTTCCAGAAGTGAACTGAAGTGAGATTCGGGTGCGAAAGTCATAACGTTTCCATCGAATGCTTAAGAGAAGTGCGATTTTGAGAAGTTAATATTCGTGAAAGATCATTTTGGAATGTCCAATCGGAGATTGGTATATTGAAAAGAACATATGTCGTTTGATACCGAGAAATTCGAATCAGCATTGACAACAGTTTGCGTTTAAATAATAAAATAAACGACGACTCGTTCCACTAGAATTCGGGAAATTTTAAAAATGGTCGTCTTGATATGACCACTGAAATTTAAATTTAAAGTTATCAGCAATAAAATAATTAAAAGTTATTGGTAAAAAGAAATAGTTTTAATTTAAAAAATTTGTTTATTTATAAATGTACTCTAATGGACTATACGACTAAGTATATACTATTTAAACGTATTATAAACGTTGTTATATCTACGACATCAACTGATATCAGAAAAGGAGAACTATGAGCTTGGACGTTTATATTTTTAGTTGAATTTCCCAAGAATTGAGCATTGAGAAAAAGCTAAGTACGCATAACGTTCCCATTCGTAATCTAATAGAATTGAAAGTACGAATTTATAGCTCATTATTGTACTGTTCTTTCCTCACAATTACCCCTAATTTTTAATGTTTTCTTTCATTTATAACTAAAGAAATTAAAAAAAAAAACATCTCGTTTACACAGTTTAATATAAGCTGCAGTTTTCGTAATTTTTTTTTTTTAAATTTAAGAAGAAAAAAAAATGCTACTATGTGAAAAATATTTGTGTTGCAAAAAAAATAAAAATAAATAATAGTAAAGGATAGTAATGGTGATTTCTAAGGTGCAGAAGAAGAAAAGTATGGGGTTATAATACTTTTAAATACTTACTTTGCTTTTTAAGTAAAATGATCATGCTGTCTTGACCAAAAGTGTTCCACACTGAACAATTGTACTGGCCAAAATCATCATCATCAGCGTTGTGTATAATGAGGTTATTTTTCACTCCACCAGCTATCGTTTCTTCAACGATTTCATATCCATCGTTGTTATCTATATCTACATGCTGAAATTAAGAAAGAAATTGCTTGAATTATTCACACGGCATTGCATATAATTTTTATGAAAAGTTGCGCGATACACCTTATTAAATTTCATTCTGAAATAACGCACGAAACCCTATAAATTGAATAGACTGAATATTATTGGGTTTAATTAAAAAAAAATAAGGCAAAAGCGTCTTTAAATGAAGACAAATTTCGTTCACTAGTTGAAATTTGTTTTTCTAATATTGGATGTTTAACTAATGAATTATACGTAATACGAACTAAATAAGAATTATTTTTATAAACCGGAATGTCAGATACAAATATCTTAAAAATATTGTTTGTTGAATTTTGAGAACTTTAAACAAATATCTCATACATTAATAAAAGTACAGAAAAATAGTCTGTGACAAAAAGAATTATAACAAGACAAGAGAAAGCAAACACTTCTAGCAAAAGATTTGTGCCATAAAGTAATATATCGCAAATACATTTGCCGAACACATTTTGAATTAAATTGCGTACGAAATAAGTATAGCTAAATCTGGAAAAAGAAATAATTCTTGGAATCCAAAGTGGAAATCTTTGGGAATAATTCTTGGGAAGAACAAAAGATTTATTAAAATTTTCAGAAGAGTTGCAGCCTTCACACGTCAAAGTCTCTTGCCTTTTGCCCCAAAACAGCTGCAACATTTCTCACGATTCGAGTGCAAATGAAAATGAGAACGGATGAAAGAGGAGATCACGAAAGGTTTGAAAATGGATACATGGAGGAGGTTAAGTTGTTGGTTTGACGGATTTGGAATTGATTGAGTTAAGGAACAAAAGAGAAAAGTTGATTCTGTTCAAACGATTTTATAAAATCGTCTGAGCTTTGATTTCTTCCAAAAATATAAATAGAGCAAGAAAATAGCTGCATAATAAGAAATTAAAAAAAATATTGTTGTGTTTTGTTTTATTAAAAGAATAGAATTTTTGGAATAAAATCTCAAGCTTTAAAGCACAAGTAAATTTCACAATCGCAATTCTTTTAAGAACAATAGTTGGTTATACTTGAAGGAAAAAACGTTTATTTATTAAAAGTATTTTATAAATATTTTGTTATATTTCATGTTAAATTACGTAAATTACAGTAAAATACCCTATTTTTGAGAGTTAATCAACAATAATGAAATTGATTGAGTTAAGAAACAAAAAGAAAAGTTGTGCTCTTCAAAAGATTTTTGTAAAATCGTTTGAGCTTTGGTATATAAATAGAACAAAAAAATAATGGAACAAAAAAATAATAGAGCAAAAAAAATAATAGAACAAAAAATAGAACAATAATAGAACGAAAAAACTATATAATACGAAAAATTTAAAAATAAAATTCTATTTTTTTGTTTGATTAAAAACAAAAGAATTTTCAAAATAAAATTCAAAGCATTGAAACACAATTGCATTTTACAATCAGAATTCATTTAAGAACAATACTTGGTTATACTTGGAGAAAAAAAAGCATTTATTTATTAAAAGTATTTTATAAAAAACTTTGCTATATTTCAATTTAAATTATGAAAATTACTATAAAATACCTTACTTTGAGAGGTAATTCTCAATGATGGAGTTGATTGAGTTAAAGGAAAATAAGAAAGCTTGATTCTCTTTAAACGATTTTATAAAACCGTTTGAACATTGATTTCGTTCAAAAATATGAATAGAATAAGAACGTAACTACATAATACGAAAAATTAAAAAAAAATTATGTTGTATTTTGTTTAATCGAAAACAACAAAATTTCAAAAATAAGATTTAAAGCATTAAAGCACAATTAAAATGCACTATCACAACTCTTAGAAAAGTACTTGGTAAGTATTTCGTAAAAAGTATATTTGACAAATTATATTTGTACAGCCAAAAGTATGCAAATTACTGTCAAATACCTTATTTTTAAGAGGTAATTCTCAATAAAGAAAAGGTTTTATTAATTCAGAAATATTTGAAATATTTTTTCTAACATTATTTTTTTCAATTCTGATTATAATTCTTTTAGTATTTATTCAGAAAAGGAATATGAAAAAGAAATTAGAAATGAGCCTACTCCTGCTAGCGTGATTACAGATAAAAGATTTAAAAAAACTCAATTTAAGTTATAAATCATGTGCATAAATAAACATTTGTACAGTTGAATCTTGAGAGTGGAATATTATATAAAATGGGAACAAGTTGAAAAATTACCTGTTGCTTTTTGGACCAGAGTACTCTCGTTGGAGGAGGCACTGATGCAATAATACATTCTAATTTTACAACTTCTCCTTCAACTCCATACTGTACAGGTGGACTCCGCACTCTTGGAGAACCTAAGGAGAGAAATGATATTTATTAATCAATGTCATTGTGTGAATTTTATGATAAGATGGATAAGATTAATTCAATACTATAGCAGGGTGCGTAGCCAAATTATTCAACAAAAAATAAGCACCTTTTAAGCACTTTTAAAGCACTCAAAAATATTTTTAAGCACTTTTAAAAAATATCATAACTAGACAGGGTTGGAAAGTTTTTGACAATCGTCGGTTTTACCTTTTTTAACAGTCATGTCAAAAAAATCTTCTGGCATTGTTTTTGACAGTTGTCAAAAATCATGAAATTTTGAATCATGTAAAACGAATGGCGTTTTCATACGCTACGGCAGACTATACGCCGAAATAGATTGGGGTTGAATTAACTATGAGAACGTTGAATAGAACAAAGTGAACTGCGTCTTTTTGCATGATTCGAAGCAAAAATCAACATAGTAAAAGAAAAATCTCATTTTGAAAAAGGGAAAATTAAGCACTTTTTAAAAACACACAATGAAAAAAGCACCTTTAAGGGCTTTTAAAAAACGAAAATAGAAAATAAGTACCTTAAGCACTTTTTAAAAACGCTAAGCACCCTGTATAGGATTATTACAATTAATTTGCGCCTCAAATTGCAAGAACTACTAAAAAATTATTTATTTTTGACAGCAAAAAAAAAAAAAAAAAATTAAATTGAAATTATCTTATAGAAGGTAAAAAATAAAGAACATTAAATAAAAACTAGTCAAAACTATGTCTAGCAACACAATTTTGGGATTTATATAGTTATTAGAAAGTTGTTTAATCTCTTAAGGTATATTTTAGTATTTTTCAGTTTAACGTACAAATTTAGAAGAAAACATAAAAGTAAAGCCTTTCTACATTTTAATTTGGTAATAATTTTGAGGTTATAACAACTTTAACTAATGTAGATATTTAATTTATTGAGAAATAATACATTCAAAAATATAGGGGAGTTTTCTAACTTAAGATGTTGCAGTTCCTAAAATATTTAGTTAATATTTTTTCTTCTAACTTAGAGTTAAAAAAACATTTAGGTGGCTGTTTTGACTGATATGAAGTTATGTCTAACTCTAGACAGTTGCTATGACCTTGACTTTCCCGCAGATATATCGTTTTGAGTGTAAAACAAAGTAATATTATTTATATGTTTATATTTACTGAATATTTACGACCCAAACTAACCTATTTAGCTGCTAAGTTGTGCTGTAGAATTGGGGATAGTTTGTTTCGAAAAAAGTCAAGCATTCTTAGCTGTCTGGTTCTTTTCAAACACAGTAAATCTACACAAACTTTTTCACAAGTCAACGTTTTAAATATAAATAAAGTTTAAAAGCTATATTTCGTAGCTGAAAGAATGCAAACTTTTGAAGAAAAAAAAAAACTAGTTCAGCATAGGCACTTAAACTCTTATACTATTTTATGAATCACTTGTCTAAGTCAACAAATATGCACTTCTCAGATGGTTTTTCCATTCCTTGTAAAAAAAACAGCTGTTTATGGGGAATTTTAACTTTTATTTAACGGTTAAAGCCGTTTTATTGACAAAGCGGTTTTTTTACTGTTTTTCACCCTAATCATAAACGGATTAAAACTATCAATTCAAATCATAGTTTTCGCTATTTAATTTTGTTTACCGTATGAAAACATTATCTTTTTTTCAAATCATTATAGTATTATTTACTATACTTACTCTTACTTTTTAGCAATCACTTTATGGTTTTTGAACGTCGTACAAATAAAACTGCGATTCAACTTTATTGTCAGATAGATACAATATTGAAGTGAAATTCTCACTATCACAATTTCTTCATAATAAAGCAGTTAAGCTTTAATGTCTCAGAGGACAAAGCACGCATGTCTCAATGAAGTGACCCATGTTCGAATCCCAGGGATGATTGGTCGAAACAAATTCTGCCGACATAAAATATTCACATCTGGTGCAACTGCAGATTTATTTCGTAACTTTCAAAAAGAAAACTTGTTTCCATATGGTAAAAATCTATTGAGATGACAGATTTATTTTTTGTTGTAAAAACTTGTTTTGTTACCGTGAAAAACCAGTCTGATTACGGATTTACTTCATAATTTTTATTGAAAAATGTATTGCAAAAAACCCGTTTAAGTCACGGTTTTTTTTACGCAATCACAAAATTTACGGGATTTTTTTCAGAGTTGTTCAGTAGATATAAAATTAATGAAAAATTTCACAATAGTATGTAAAATAAATTTTAGTTTGAAAGGTCCACATTTTATTGCGTAAATTGTAGTTACGTTAAAATAAAGAGTTTAAATCTCATAAAAATATTAAATGTAAAAAGGTTTATTGTCAATTTTAATCTACAAATAAATCTGAAATGTAACAGATATTTGTATCTATATTAATATCTTATGTGCAATATAGATAATTATATCCTTAAACTCTTATATTTTAGATACATAGTTATTCTTAAAATGGAAGCAAGCTATATAAACTGTTTTAAAAGTCAACGTTTTAAATCTACATAAAGGTTTATTTCGGAACTTAAAGATGGTACACTCTTGGAGGAAACTACTTTAACAAAGACGTTTATGCTTTTAAATTATAAATTTATGAAGCATTTGACTAACATAACTATGCATTCCTAGGATATTTAGTCCCATTGTATAGTAGACATTAAATTAATGAAAAATTTCGCAGTGATGTAGAAATAAACTTCAGGTTGAAAGCTCCATTTTAACTCAGGTAAATTTTGGTTTTGTTAAAATAAAGAGTTAAAATTTATGAAGTGTATTTAATATAAGATGGTTTTTAATGTCAAAAATATAATTAACTGATTGTTATATTAAGAATTTATCTTATATAAATCATTAAGTTGTAGTATTTACACTAACATCTTTATTGTAATATAAATACTTTGAAACTTTTACTTTTCATGTGCTTTTATAGAAGAGACTAAATATCGCTTTTTGTATCTAAATATTTTGAGCTAAAAGTAGAGCTCTTAAAAATGTTTTCGAAGTAGGAAATCTTTACAAATACGCGTGTAAATTGAAGGTTTATTTTTGTAAATCAAAAAGAGTCTATTCAAACATTAGCATTTTCTAAAAATAATTTTATTAAAAGCCCATTAATAAGTATTGTTATTAAGTAGATTATAATATATTTCTACCTGTTAATAACTCATCTTTAAATTAAAACTAATTCCATTTTATTATCATTGAATAACATTTTTTTATGGATTTTAATAGATCCACAAAAAATTAATCCATAAAATTAATCCGTAATATCAATCAATTAATTAAATAACCCATAATATTAATCCATTAATAACAGATCCATAACTGCTTAATTGCTATATTTGTGCTGTACATTTTCCAAAATATATGCGTCTATTACAAATTACTGATTCATTTTCTAATAAGATGTTAAACTTTTAGTAACAATAAACTAACATAGTTACTTTTTAGAATAAATTTCACCCTAAAAAATTGTGTAGAAAACATTAAATCTTGGGAGGTAAATATGGTGACATAACATCGAATCTGCTATTGTGTGAGTTATTGAGTTATCTTCTTCGGCAAAAACAATCATTTCACTTTGAAAAGATAAACAGTTTCAAACAGCAAACGATTTTGAAAAGCGTTGCCATAATTGCAATATAACTAGTAAGAAAAGGAAGAGCTAAGCTGACGTGAGAGTATTAAGTGGACATGAGTGAACTTGCTTTTCTACAAAAGCTGATTCATAGGTTTTGAGTCAAAGGGAACTAGTAATTAGTAAGGGTTGCCACCTAGTGAGTTAGATGGAATAAAAAATGTAGAACTTTCATCCAGTGATATCCAATTCTGTCATCGAGAGATAAACTGGAAATCATATCATTTGTCCCTCCATTATCACTGATGAGTACAAAATTTCGAAATTGCATTTTTGAGCAACAAATTGAATACAAAATTTATAAATTGTATTTAAGTTTGAACAATCAATTGAAGTTTTTTACAATCTTCCAGTTGCAGATTCTTACCTTTAATGAATACAAGAGCATTGGTGGAAATTTCAGCAAAACCAACAACAGTCGCCCGGCACGTATAGCGCCCAGCTCTGTCTAGACTTAGTTGAGGAATGACGAGACGAGGTTCAGAACTAAGTACTTTCTCAGATCCTTCAAAAGTCCAAACAGTGTCTGGTTTAGGATTTCCTTCAACATCACAGTTTAGGGTTACTTCTGATCCTATATCAGCGGCAACATTTTCGATGGTGGATCGAAACGCAGGCCCGTCTGTAAATGTAATTGAAAATATGAATTACAACAGGTGAATAACAGTAACCACATCATTAACATCCGAAAATTTATTTGTAAAAATAAACTGTATACCTCTAAAGTAGTTTGTTTGTAAACACATAAAATGCACCTATTAAACATAAATGGACAAATGTTTTAAAGTTATGATTTAACCCCAACTGTTAACGGTGCTTAAAGTTATGTTTTAAAGTTAAGATCTAACCCCTAATATGTTTAAAGTTATGTTTTAAATGTTTAAAGTTATGTTTTAAATGTTTAAAGTTATGTTTTAAGGTTAAGATCTAACCCCTAATATGTTTAAAGTTATGTTTTAAATGTTTAAAGTTATGTTTTAAAGTTATGATTTAACCCTCTCGCAAGTAATAATAATAAAAAAATAATTAAAAAATTATTCTTTCAGTTTAAATTAAATCAATATTTCACTTCATTAGCTATAAATGTAATTTTGACTCAGTTCAAAAAAATTTTCATATTGTTAAGATATTTTGGTTGATATGAATGATATACGGTTTGACATCAAAGTATATAATGTTTTTATTTTTTCTTAAATAATGATAACAGAGAATGATTTGCATCATCACTTTTTATATTTCCGAAAAAATGTGTTCTACTAATTCTACTAATTAATTAAAAAATTAATGGCATCAGAGAAATAATTTTCTCGGAATTTCGAAGAATATATATGTGGTTGATAATTTGAATTTATATTACTCGAACATATATGTTTGTGCAACGAGATTAAATTATTTTGCGAATAAAAATATTTGTACATTTACTAAATACATGTGATAAATAAAAAGCTAGCTGATTTCCCTTGATAATCGTACAATGGGATTCACCTCTAGACCAAGACTATAATACAAAATATAATAATATAGAATTTCTAATGGAATTGAAATGAAGTAGAGTTTAATGCACATAGAGGAAATTTGCTATATTATGCTACGCTAAACGTAAATGGAATAACGTAGTCTAATTCCGGGTTAGATGATATAATAATGTTATAAACTAAGTCTGATCATCCTTGAAAAAATACCATTGTGGTACTTCAGCAAGTAATAACTCTTGTTTTTATAAGAGGGTGAACCCCCTAAAATAATTTAAAAGCTTAAGAATAATTTACAAATAAAATAATAATAATGAAAGTGTATGATTCATAAATAAAAATATCCCCCCTGATTTATTTAACCTTTTTACATTAAAATATTACAGAATAAGTATACATCTACAAAGGATTAAATAGAAAGGTTTTCTAGGTTTATAAAGAACCATTTCTAAATAAAACAAAATGTTAACTATAACGCAAAGATAACAGTGGCTAACTGTTGATTTTTAAATGAAAATAATGAAAAGCATCCAATAAGTCATGGAAAAAACAGCAGCAATCTCAAATTGTGGAACGAACACCACCAGTGATAAAAATAAAATGAAACCGATAAAGAAAGAAAACCCCTTTTCTCACATGTACATGATTCATAAATAAGTATATTCTTTTGATTTATTTAAACTTTTTATACTAAAACATTACAGAAAAAAGTATGCAACTACAACGGATTAAATAGAGCGATTTTCCAGGTTTATAAAGAACTTTTATTATCTTAAGTTAAAAATAATGATCTGCATTAAACATCGTAACTATTTCCAAATGAGAAATTTTAACTATAACGCAAAGAAAACCCTTACAAACGACTAACTGTTCATTTTTAAATGAAAATAATGAAAAGCATCCAATCAGTCATGGAAAAAACCGCAGCATTCTCTAAATGAGGAACGAATACCACGAGTAATAAAAACAAAATGAAACCGATAAAAGGAAAAAGAAAAAAACCCTTTTCTCACAAGTAACGCAAAAATCATTAGAAGCGAAACATCATTATCTGTTAACGAGATACGTTTAATGATTTCACTTAATATCATTGAAAAGCATTAAGAAAAAAAATTAATCACTCAAAAACAAAAATTAAAACGATAATCCTTTTTCTTTGTGGCATTATGGAAATTCAATACTGCTGTTAAACAGATGTAGCAAAAAGAAAAGAATGTTCTTTTTTTATTCCGCTTACATAGGACATTCAGAGTGTGTGTTGATTTGGTAGTTCCCACGGCGTTGCTGACTTCGCAGCTGATGGTGTCCTTGTTGTATTCGCGGGTGACCCTGGTTATCATGTAGGTCGTACTGTGGTCCCCTGGAATGACTTCATCGTTTCTGCAAATAAAAAGAATAAAAAAAATAAACAACAAGTTATTGGGGAATATTTCTATAATGGCTTTGTTAATTTGGCGTGAATGGTTCTTTATCTTTACACATGTAAGTATTGTTCTTAATAAAGCGATTGGGATTGGTGCTACCAATCCTATTTGGCATGATATTACCTTTACATTATTTAATGAAATAAACATATGTAAATGGCAGTTGTAAAAGATAATACTGACTGAAAAAACTGATTAACTTGAATGATCAAAATTTACGAAATTTTCCTTGTTTTTGACGAAACAATTTCCTAGGGAAATCTCCAAGCGAGCATTTTGTTAAATTAAGGAAATTGTTTTCTCTTGTTTGAGAATACGAATTTCATCAAAAGAAATTAGGCATAGTGAAACATGTCAATTAATCACTGATTAGGAAAAACAACGTATTCGGGAATGAGTACTCACTTTTGAAACGAGTGAGAGAATAGTTTCCTTAAATATTTGACATTTCGCGTTTCGTCAAATATCAAATGATTTAGAGACGAAATGATAGTCAAAAGCAACGAAATAACATGTACATCGATTAGTACACTTGATTAGGAAATATATTGCAATGATAGTCAAAAGCAACAAAATAACATGTACATCGATTAGTACACTTGATTAGGAAATATATTGTAATGATAGTCAAAAGCAACAAAATAACATGTGCATCGATTAGTACACTTGATTAGGAAATATATTGTAATGATAGTCAAAAGCAACGAGATAACATGTACATCGATTAGTACACTTGATTAGGAAATACATTATAATGATAGTTAAAAGCAACGAAATAACATGTACATCGATTAGTAAACTTGATTAGGAAATATAATATAAAAAATACGAGTGGAGAGCTACTCAAATAACACCAGAATCAAACCCGAGGAAAAACTGCTTTACAAGCGAGTTCACCAGTCTTGCAACATCTCTTCATTAAAACGAGAACCTTTTTGAGATTGTAGCAATCTTTAAATATTTACTTTATACATAATAATATATTAATTTTACCGCTATGTTATACTTGTAACCTATATTTTTAAAAATTTCACATTTATTTTGGCACGAAACAAAATCAATAAAATGAAGAAAAAAAATCTTTTAAAATTTTCTTTATACAATTCAAGTATGAATGAAATTATTACTTACTAGGTACTAAATTTACTTCTTTTTAATAATGAAAAGAATTGCGGAGAAGAATCCAGAAAAATAAAATTTAAGCTGATAGCTAGTGCATTTCCATTTTAGAAATTCATTTTTCAAAAAGAAAAAAAAAAGAAGACCTTTAACAAATGATCTCATTTTCAATTAGTGAGTGAAATTCTTCCCCGCCCTTTTTATTGGAAATGTCTGACTGTTTTCTAAAGAACAAACACAGTTTTCTTTTCCTCCTAAAGAATATTTACACTTTATTTTACCATTTTTATCTCTTTTCCTCTTTTAACTTTGCATTCAAACCAATTTTGAGCCGATCGAAGACATTGGAAATATTCCCAGCATGCATTTTTATTTAGCATTCTTATTCTAGCAAAAGTATTGACGAATATACGAATATCTCTCCTTATTCTGCCCCAAGGGTAGAAAATAAAGCTGAAATAAAATGTTGTTGCCATTTTCAAACTACCAAATACATTTCAAAATGTGTAACAAAGATGAAGAAAATATGTCACATGCTTTTCCTCTGCAAACAGAATTCACGATGTATTTTTAATCTCGACCAATGTCGGAGTAAAATTATAAAAATAAAAAAAGAACAAGAATCAATCACAAAATAATCTAAAATATTTAAAGTAAAGAAATTCAAACAAAAGATTGAACTGTTCAATGTCAGTTTATTTATAGAAGAGAAAGTTTTCTCATAGCAAAGCAGTTGTTGTTCGATTAGCTTTAAGCTAGAATTAGATTTAAAGAATAAAGAAAATACTGAAACAGCCAGAACAAATTTAATAGAATGCATAAATAATGAATTTTGAATTTAATTTTAACGCCTATATTTTTTTATATACGTAAAAAATGCATAAATCAATTCTATTACAGTTCAGGATTTTTGCTAGATATACAATCGGAAATAAACCCTGAAATTTAATTCTTACTTTTATTTCCTTATTTAGATAAACTAAGCTATTGATCTGGAAAGTGAAAATAAATCGCAATAAAATAAACGTCGATAAAAAGAGATGTTAAAGATAGCTATTTTCACATTAAATCTAAAAGTAATATTTTTAATAAGTAGTCAGTTTTTGTCATAATAGAAATACATTCAAAATTTGGGGACAAAATGTTTTAATAACGCGCATAATATTAAAAAGGCAATAATGGTTTGAAACTATGGCGCGTTTAAATATTACACTTTATTTTTGCTGAAAACGGGAAGGGGGATACGATACGTAAGTGACTAATCCCCCCAAAATGCTTGCTTAATATTTGAATGGTTCTTTTTCGATTGCTGGATATATCGTTTGAAAAAGACATTAACATCACAAATAAATTCAATCAGACGATTTTTTAAATTCGATTTTCCCAGACGATTTCCAGGTGTCTACACCAGATTGTTTTGGTGCAAAATATTCATATATTTTTCAATCCTGCCATAATTTTGATTGCAATAAAAATAATACACGATGAGTACGATAATATACGACCAAACGTGTTATTTTGCATTTTATATAGTATTATATTTATTACATAACAAGCAAAAATAATTTATACCATATCATAGTTTTAAGGAAAGTAATAACTATTGCATTATTTTTTAACCGAAGTACAAGATTCAAAAGTACTACGGAAGAAAATTAAAATATAATTTATAATTGATTCATTTTACTTTATAAAATGGGCACAAAACAATCCAATACCATCCGTTTAAAGACACATGGTTTCTTATTCTTTGAACTCTAAAAAACGATCATAAATGTCAAGTGTTTTTACGGGGATTAGTATTTATTTCAAGAATTCTTTTCCCCAAAACAAAATAACATCTCACCATCATATTTTGACAAATATTCTCCAATCGAAAAAAAAAGAAGAATGAAGAAAACTGAAAAATTCTTCCCATTAAATGAAAGCAAAACAAATAAATAGAAACTCACCTCAGCCATTTGATGGTGACGTCCGCTGGATTCGCAACTGCCTCGCAGGTGAACTTCACGTTATCGAATTCCATAATCTTGTCCGAGCTCACTTTAAGGGTGATTTCGGGGGGATCTGTAAGAAAACATCCATCTCTATTACCCACTTGTCACATCTAATGGTGTATTCCACCACCTAGGCGGCGATACAACCGAAAATCCTCTTTGCAACGATGAAAACAAAAGAAATAAAACATTCTTTCTTCCTCTTTAAGCGAAAGAAACACTAGCCTGTAAGCTCGGCAGATACAACGCCATTTCGAAGGAAAGGACATCAATTTTTGCTTCAGCCTCGTACAATAAGGTGTGCTGATTCGAGCTTTTCGGATTCAAAAAGTAATTTCTTTTTGGTACAATGTTATTTTATTTTATTGGATACGGTTGGGTTGTTACTTATTATAATGCTGTCGTAAGTATTAGTTTTATGTATGAATATTGGATCACAGGGCGTATAAAAGAACATTTAGATGATCTCCGGACGCCATTAATATGATTTAATAGTATTTATTTTATAATATTTATTTGTGTAAGTTGTATATTATCAGAGAAGATTTATTATAAAGGAAACATTACATAAAATTTCTATTTTAAAATGTACTACACTGTAAAAAGTACCTAAAATTCTTTTTTCAAACAAATGTACCAAATGTTTAAGGGTGATTCTATGGTTTTGTCTTACAAGTGGCGCATGAAATTGATTAATATATTCGTCAAAAAACAATTTTCTAAGCCTGCATTTATAACTGAAAAACATTTGTACCAAATGTCAATGGACAAAAATAATTTTATTCATATTCATAAAAAAACTATATAAATTATAAAATTAAAATTATAATATCGCTTAAATTTTTTTATATTTTTTTTAACTATCATCTATTTAAATTCAAGCATTTTCAAAATGCTCCTTAGTTGTTTATTTGAGATTTTAAGAAAGGTAAAATAATTAATTATTAATTTTTTAACAAAATATTTAATTAATCAATTTTTTAATTGTCTCTTTAATTAGAAATATTGTATTCGCTTTTACGCCAGAAAAAAAAAATTAGTTGTGTGTTAAGGCAACTAAATTTCACCCCAAATGTTTAAGTGATGTTTGAAAGTTTGAGCTTATTATGAAGTGAATCTTTCGATGTAAATATCCCAATCTCCCATTTCGCAAATTTTGAGTAATTTTGAAAAATATTTTATCTCCGTATATTATAATTATATATCTATAGTATGTAAGAATTATAAGAATGTTATACTTACATTTAACTTCTAAGCTGATTCTTGCATGCAGCGGTTGCGTTAAAGCAGGATTTTCTGATCTGCAAGTAAAAGTTTTTCCGTCATGTTCCCTCCTTGGTGTAAGAGTCCACTTGAGTTCTGCATTTGCCCTTTTTCCATCTCCAAGATGTTGTGTCGTGTATTCAATTTCTTCTAATACAACATTTCCATCACCATCCAGCCAAGTCAACTATAAAATAGCCCAAAATACACAAGTTAAAATTATTTTATACTAATATTCAATGATAATTTTCATATGAATTCTGCTGCTGATTCAAGCAAGGAAAGAAAACTTATTTTGTTATCTAACAGTAGCAATGCGTAACATACGATCCTTCGAGGTTTTTTATTTCAAAATGCAAAGTATGGCTTAATTTAAGATATGAATAGTACGCAAAATAAAATAGGGAACACCTTAATAACTTTTGATATAATGATTGAATATAAAAAGCGATCTTGAAGGTTTAAAACTTTAACATGAGTTTTATGCTACGAAATTAAGCATGAAACCATACTTTTTCTGAATAAATATGTTTTTTCTTTACTGACGGAATTGGGCTCTTGGTCCCTACTATATGGAAGGCAGACCAACCTGAAAAATATTGCCACAATAATTGAGTCGGAAAGCGGTCTAAACTTTATAGAGCAATATTATTATGATTCATTTCAAGGTTGAACCCTATCAGTACCTTGAGTCATTATATGAATGAAAAATTAAAATTGAACCTTGTTATCGATCAAATTAAACTATGGTGCACTAATGTTTTTAACAGAGAAAAATGTAATAAGCAGTTTTACTTTTAAATATACACGGTTGTTTCTTTTACAATGCGAAAAAAAAGCGTTTAAGTGCTATTACTTATACGAAGGAAACAAGGTATTGCAGAAAAGTTTTTCTGTTGAAATTACTTAACAAACTGTGGTGCACCAATATTTTTTCATTGGATGTGGTTGGTGTTGGTCCATTAGAAGGAGTAATGAAAAAAAATCTGCTACGACACAAGAAATAAAAAGAAAAATATATGAAGGGGAAAAAAAACAAAGCAAAAACATTGCACTTTGGGAATTTTTTTCCCTTTTGTTTTCCGCTTTTCCGAGGGAAGAAAAGAAAAATAAGAACAATGAGAATAAGGAAAGGACATTTCGTTAGGGGAACAAAATTGCGGAACGAGAGGCTGCTTCAAAATCTTTCTCAGCATTTTTGGTGATCTATAATTGATTTATTTGTTTGTTTTTTTCCTTTTTGTCGTACGTACCAACGAAATGATTACGATTCGGTTTATTTTTTATCATGTTTTTTTTAAGTCTCTGCCCTAACTCAGGAAATAACTCCTTGAACAATTTTCTTTTAAAATTAATACAATTTTCTCTTCGGAGTATTTTATTAAATTTTTGTTTTAGAGCATATCGTATCCTAAATACCGCAAGTGTAATTAACGCCACTTATTAAACGAAAATAATAATCAGAATGATTAAAAAATGACGAAAATCATTAATTTATTTATTATCAATGTTAATGAGGGATATTTTTGCACACTTATAAACATATTTCTATTATTTGAATCCCACTTCTAATTTTTTTATTTATACATTTGTAAAATATGGTTACATATTCTTTAAATAATTTTCATACATGAAAAAGTGGGTTTGTACAATAATGTAAAAATATTATTCACATTTATAAGACTTGGCATTTTTCAATTACCATCTATTTAGTATTATATTTTAACAGTATGCAATTATTCAGTTCATTTAACTTTTCAAGCATAATACTATTTCGAATTTTTTTTAAATACTTAATTTCTATCTCCTTTTTTATAAGAATACCATAAGTACATATAAGTTAACCATATAAGCTATTATCTGATAATAAATAAAAAGATCAATAAATTAAATAACCGAATCTGATTAACACGTAGAGTAAGTATGCGTGTATTTTGACTTCGCCCGGAAGAATCGGCTTCTAGAAACTTTGAACCTGGATCAATACAAAGCTCATTTGCAGACGAATTTTAATACCAAGAAAAAGAAGACCAATTCAACTTTCCTACCTCCTTTCAACACTTCCACACCCCCACTTCTCGTCTTTTACCGAAGCAATAATTAAGAAAGGTGACAGACGTTCTTCGGTGTGTGGTTAAAGCTTTCACTAATGAGCAGACCCTTACCACGCCATCTGGAATCTTCTGGAATCCTTTTTCCGCCCACCCCATCACCACACAACAGACCACCCCTCTTTGGTACTAATTTGCCACAAAACAACAGCTTGAACGTCACGTTTACACAGGATATTTTACTCCCCCTTCTAATTTGGAAGCCTCGGGAAGCTTGGCCGAAGAAGAAAAAGTGCTGGGAAAAAAAATCGAATGTTCCAGAAGAAAAGAATTTCAAAATGATAGGTAACATCTTCTGGATCTCCTATCCACCCCTTACACAATGCTGCAGAGGTTTTGTTTTGATCCTTAGTAATCAAGGGAAGGTTTAACTCACTTAGAAAATGATGCCGACACCATTAAGAAACATAATTTTTTAAACCTGTTCAAAAGCCCACTTATTAGCCATTTTTTTCTCCTCAGTTATGCTAGAAAGATATATAATATGAGCTTAACTTTGCGATGCGAGATAGTTTTTTTTTTTCTGAATGGTTGCTGGCCATTTCATCATATCCTTCAAAGACAAATTAAAAGTAGATTAACACTCGAGAAAAACTCAGGTGTTTAAGAAATTTAGGAAGTACTATAAGTCATAAGCGTGTAAACAAATTAAGGCTTTCTGCTAGAAGATTATATGTTGCAGTGTTTGGAAGACTTAATTTTTACCTTTAGCTGCATATTTAAGAGGCTTGTTACAGAAAATGGTAACATTTAATTCAAAGTTTTAAAAAGTAAACATCTGATACGATTCTCATTGGTATAGGTTCATTAAGAATTGTTTTTTAAAGTTTTGAATTGACATAGGGTACTTTTTCTTATTCTGATATGAAAGAAAGGTGTATTTTTTCTATGCTTCGCTAGATATTTTTTGTAAATATGTCAAAATAAAAAGTTCCTTGTACCTTAGAAAAATATTTTAGCTAATTATTGCTAGGAAACATTATTCTAAATTCAAACCACCAATGCTGAATTCATAATAATAACAGAAACACATTTTAAACATTTTGGCTAACAAATCAACAAAACAAAGTGCACAGAAAGAAACAAAATGTAACAATAGAATGTAAAATGTAGTGTAATTATTATCATAGGGTTATTATTCTGATGAAACTATTATTTCATTTTGACACTAAATAGTTTTTTTTTTCGGCAGAAAAATCTACGGTGGATGCAAAAACAACTTGAAATATTTCTGTTTACGTTTCTCTCCTCCACAATATTTTGGAAATTAACAGTTTGCTAAATAGTTTAAGGAACCCTTCATGGAAAATTCTGTTTTAATTACATTTAAAACTCAAGGAATTTGAGAAACCAAGAGTAAATTATAAAATTTCAAATGCTGATTTTTTTCCCTGGGTATGTTCAAATTGTAAAACAAATTAAGTCAGTATTAGTTTCTGGTATGGAAAGTGGTAATACTTCTGACATAATTTGTAAGCCATTTGACAGTTGGAAAAAACTTTCAACGTTTGGAATTTTATAGATTATTTTCTGTTTATCTATACTTTAAATTTTAAATTACGAATGAAATTGATAGAGAATTTATATTAGGGTTAAAATAGTTATCATTAACCAGCAGCTTCCAAAGGCGAAAAAATATTAATTAAAAGAGTTTTTTTTTGTATAAAATAAAATTTTGACTGACTTGAAAAGCATTATAGTTGTTTTTCCACATTACTGCGGAAGATAAGCTTTAAACTGTCCTATTCCTTATTTTGTTTAATAATGTTTTATGCAAAGATTTAATAATTAAATAGCTATAATTTCAGTAAAAATGGACATTAAGTTCACCTATTAGAAAACTGCATGTTTTAATTAAGGTGTTTGGTTTGAATTTGAAATTAACTTCGGTCAGTTTTTACGAAGTCTTATTCTGTTTTTGATTGTTTGTGTTTTACTGGGTATATGAGAGTTTTCATAACATTCTTACCTCGGCTGGGGGTTTTCCTGCATGTGAGTCACAAGTTAATTCAACTGTCATCCCCGCTGTCGTTCGCAAGAAATCACCTTGTACAATTTTTGGTGGTTCTGGTGGAACTACAAAATACAAAAAACAAAAGTTAATAATCTATACAAGATGTTCTAAAAATTGATTTTTAATTTTAAACTAACTGCTAATATATAAAATTATTATCCAGCTGAAAAAATCTCGTGTAGTGTTTTCCGTACGAATTCCGGTAAAATTATCATGCTGTATGGCAATGGCATTTCTGGTAAAAAGAAACCATAATTTACCAACATATACGGCATTTAAACCCAACATTTACTTACACATACCCCCGATGGTTTACCGAAATTTCTGGTTTTCAAAATTATAGTTCATAATTACCACACATATAGAAAAAAAATTTTAAACCTAAAAATATATTTAACTGAATATATGGTTTTTATGCCGACCGGCCTGTGTAGGGGCCAGAAAACTGGTCTTGCTTCAGAAAGGTTCTGGGTTCGAATCCCGGGCAAGACATGGATGTTCTTTCATTCTCTGTACTTATTATGGGAGCTAACATTGGCCCACCCAATATGGTGCCCCTAGAAAAGTGGCTACCAAATCTGCCCTTCAGATGCCTGTATGACGTAGGTCATTGGAAAAAAATGGTTTTTATGCCATGCTCGATAATATATATCACGGCAAAAGTTCCAAATTTTTGCCAAATTTTATCACAGATTATAAAACTATATTTTATTGCTAATTTTACCAAAATCATTACCACAGCGCAAAACTTATCGAGCTTTTTGATCATCTCATTGAGCCAGAAACACAATAAATTTCATCGTATTCTGGTAATTTTGACCATAACTTTTTTTCAATGCAGATTTTATTTTTACTTTAATTGAAAGTAATTTCTTTCAAAGACTAAATCGAAAGACTCTGTTTAAGACAAAGTGTTCTATGTTTAAAATGAATGTAAAACTAACTACTGAAACAGAAGTTGTTTTAACTGGAATTTAAAAAACAAAAGGAAAGCTTAGCAAATTTTGCAACAAGACGACTCTTTTTATAACTTTGATTTTAAATTTCTTTTATATATTTCACATAATAACAACTACAAATTTATAAAATGACTAACAATAAAAAAATATTCCAATTACAAGTACGTTCTGTGCCAGAAATAGGAATAAAATTAGTGTTTCTTTGACGCTCGTGTTTATTTATGGCCACGTAATACGAGGCATCTATCATTTAAATACCTTTTTTAAAAGTTGTCAGATCCCAGTAGTTTTAGAGATATCATTAAATATTCATTTATCTGTTTTATTTCAAATAGATTTTCTTAATCAATCTTAATTTGCAATTAAGATTGATTGATTGTATTTGGAGTTTTTTTTTTCTTTGTTTTTTTTGGATGAAAGGAATTTTTTTCCCAAATTTATATTAATACATACAATTATGACTTAGAGTGGAAAGAGTATCAGTATCTTATCTTGACATTAGGAAATTTTATTATAATTTGAACCCTGCACACTTTTTAAAAAATACTCCTAATTAAGACTCCTAATTTCATTGGCAGACTATTTTTTTTCTCAACAAAAATACTCACATCTTAGTAATACTATCGTTTCACCATAAATTTACAATCACTTTAGTTGAAACGATACTCATGTATATTGAATTAATAAAACAGTATGACTTCATAAGAGTTTTTAAAGAAATACTCGGAACAAAAAAAAAATTAAAGAATCATATCTGTGTAATTTTCCTTCAATTTCCCAAATAAATTTATCCTTAAACAGCTCTTACAGCGAATATTAACGAAAAACTATGAAACGCTGATTAAAATAGACAACTTTTTCTTTCGCTTTATGAACAATTGAATCAAGCTGAAATAATTAGCTTTTAAAAATCGCAAATACAACACTTGAATTAAAAAAAAATTCAAATTTTAAGCTGCTTAGTTACACTGATTTAGTAATAAATACTATGTGCGGCTAAGCAGTACTATTATTTTCAAAAAAAGTTATAAGTAATTTTAGTTCAAACTGTAAAATAAAATTTTCAATTATTAGAAAAGCCTTTCTTCATAAAAAAGTTTGAAAAGTAACCGAAATAAACGCAATTTTAAAAACTGAAATTTTCCTTCAATTCGAATTTTAAATTCATCACGAAACAGCTCTTATAACGAAAATTAACGAAAAACAATGAAACTCGTATTAACATAGACTAGATTTTCCTCTGCTTGATTAGTAATTAAATCAAGTAGAAACAATTCACTTTAAACTTTTAAAATCACAATACAACACTTGAATTAAAAGAATCGAATTTAAAGCTGGAGTAAAACCTGGTTGAAAAAAAAAATTAACATCTTTGAAATGGCCGAGGCGCTCATCATTATCTTTTTCCACCCCGTTTGATTCAAAAAATTCCAGTAATCTCATCTTTAACCAAATATCATCGCCAAGGCTCAAATTTAAGAGAGAATAAATTTAAAGTTCATATTTATCAGGCCAAGATGGATGGTAAGGACGAAGTAAAATAACAATGCAATTTGCACTGCCTGGGCTCTGTAAAATCGAATTAAGGCAGTGGTTAGGCACTGAAGAGGTATTATCAGAAAAATAAATTAAAATTTTGCTCTTCCATAAGCCACTCACCCCAAACCCCGGGGTTTTCGATTTGGCCCAGCATCGGAGCACGTTTTGGAAATATCTCAGGAACGTTTTTCAAACCTTTCATAGAGAAAGGTAGGAAATAATAAAAGCGCAGAAAACACGGCCAACTAAGTTATTTAAACTCCTTCAGCCGTATAATTAATACGGAGTATAAGAATACTTGAAGTTGAAAACAATTAAGGAGGAATTCTTACTTTTTTGCTATCCTTAAAGAAAAGGCAGTTTTTTTTTTAATTTCTCATTCCCGAAATAAAAAAAAAGGAAATAATGAATAGGAAATTAGAAATGAGTAAAGTGTAAAAAATTATATACCCTTTAAATTCTGAGTACAGGAAAAAAAATGAAGAAAGGAAAGAAGAAAAAAGTCTTCACTATTGTTATAAAAATTCTTTCAATGGTGATGTAAATAATTCAGTCGTAAAAACTGAATTTTTTCGTTTATCCATGGCTTACAATTTTATTTTTTTCAATTATTCTATAAAAGAGCTTCTTCAATTCAAAAATAAAAAAAATAATTGTAAAAGTAGTTAAATACTAGGAAAAGCACAATCATTTTTAGATTTCGAAACGTTTAAAGAAAAACAATACTTATATATAAGAAAAAATTTAATCTGTGAGATAACCCATGGAACTATGTAATTTATGCAACATATTGTTTATTTTAACCCTTTCTATTGTATAGTTGCTTCCAATTAACTTTCATAAGTACATAATAAAATATTTATCATCATATAGTATACAATATTTGTACTATATAATTTGTTTGAGCAAAAAAAACGAGTTTTTTCAGTAAGCATTTTTTACTCCTAAAAATTGAATTTTGTCTTAAATAGTCATAGCCTGCAATTTATTTCAATTACTTAAAAATAAAAAAGCAAAATCACTCTTAAATTTTAAAATGTTTTAAAAAATTCTCGTCAGATTGTTTTATTGAAAAATAGTGTAATAAGATGACGATGGTGTATTGTAATGACGAATTTAATTTATAAAAATATCTAGTTTTGTTGTTGTAACGCTTTAATTTGCAAATTAGTAATATTTTAAAGTATATATTTTCTGAAAAATATGTTTCTCTTCTGTATTTGGTGCTACAAGAAAAAAACAATTATTATTATCTCTAACTACAGTATATCTTAAATTTGTGAATGAGCTTTTGTAAGAACATTAACATATTTCATTTAATTGTTACCTTGCTTGCCTTAATTTGTTATTTATGTCTGTTGCCACGCGTCACAAATGGGTTTTTCTTTCTGTACATAATGCTGTATAAAGCAGTTAGTGTTCACATTATGTATAACTATATATCTGCATCGAGCTGTTTTTCTGCAGCAAAAACAGGCTTTATATCTTGTTATGTTGTGGTACAAACTGGTTTTAGATTTCTTCTGCTGTACAAACCGGTTGATATTCACAATTATCTAGTACTGCATATCTGCATATAAGTTTTTTTTCCCACGGCTGAAGGATGCTTTACATCTGTTACCTTGAGGTACAAACTGATTTTAGATTTCTACTGCTGTATAAACTGATTGGTATTCGCATTATTTATTACATATATCTGTATTTAGCTTGTTTTTTGCAGTAAAAGCAGAATTCATGTCTGTTATCTGTACAAACTGGTGTTACTTTCCTACTGCTATTGGTATTCGGCATTATTTATTATTACACTGATATTGATGCTATGATGCCATACACGCTATTGATTCAGTAATGTTCTGAAGATGAATGAAATCCAGTCCATCACAAAAAGGGAATATTTATTACATAATACATTCTTAAAGGATAATCTAATGTATATTATTCCCAATAGTTCGGTTCAGAACTCTTGTTAACTTAAAATAAGGCAGATTTTCGGCCAATTGAGTTTCTTATTCCGCCCCTTCTCTGGTGCCTCTGACAAATGACAGCAGGGAACAAATGGGCCATGACGACCACGAAAAATTCCCTTTTTTGTCCCTTTTTTCCCTTTTGAATCAGTACTTACAGTAGATCTGTTTCTAACGGCAGTGCGAATAGGAATCCATCTATCTATATGTCAGCAAAGGAAAGAAACATTAGCAAGTAGCAAACTTGCAACAGAAAAGGAGCACAGTTTGAACACGAAGAGTGGTTCTAGTAAAGATATAAGAAACTGCAATCGCTTTTAAAAGATTTCCCATTAGATCAGAGAGGGCTAAAAATTTCTCTTGGAAGCGGAATTTTAGGAACTTGGCGCTTATCCTAATCGAGGGAAAAGAATCCACGAGTTTACATGTCCGTTTTATTTTTCAGGAAATTTTTTCGACAGAATGTATACTATTGATTTGTGTGTCTCGTGTATGATTTAACTAAAAATTCAACTTTAATTCATGCTGCAATGTTTTTAAATTTCAAAAACATTTGATTCTACATTATTGGTCCCATATGCATTGATCAAAGACACAAGGAATTGAAGTATAAAAATAAAACTGCAAAAGAATACTGCAATGTTTATTATTGTATAACGATTTTATTGTCCGTTTTATTTTTCAGGAAATTTTTTAGACAGAATGTATATTATTGTTTTTTGTGTCTCGTGTATAATTTAACTAAAAATTCAACTTTAATTCATGCTGCAATGTTTTTAAATTTCAAAAGCATTTGATTCTACATTATTGGTCCCATATGCATTGATCAAAGACACAAGGAATTGAAGTATAAAAATAAAACTGCAAAAGAATGTTGCAATGTTTATTATTGTATTACGATTTTATTGTCCATTTTATTTTTCGGGAAATTTTTTCGACAGAATGTATATTATTGATTTGTGTGTGACGTGTATAATTTAACTAAAAATTCAAATTTAATTCCTGCTGCAATGTTTTTGAATTTCAAAAGCATTTGATTCCACATTATTGGCCCCATATGCATTAACCAAAGACACAAGGAATTGAAGTATAAAAATAAAATGGCAAAAGGATGCTGCAATGCTTATTACTGTATTATGATTTTATTGATAACATAAAAAAATTGAATCTCAGAATTTTGTAACAAAATTCATCTAAATTAGAATTTTTTCATGCATGTATACACAAATTTATTTACATTTGGAAAGTATCTATGCATACTTTGCCATATAATATATATCGGAAATCAAATATCGAACACAAAAGCAGTTGTATTACACGAAAGAGGTAAGACATAGAATCGAACCAATTTCACAATCTACTAAGGAATCAAATGCAAATGAATTCTCCTATACATACTTGAGAAGTTTCGACGGATTCCATAACTTCGTAATAATACTGACATAATGTTCAGAAGGAATATATTGCAGAGTCACTTTGAGCTTATGCAATAAATAATAATGATGATCTGCCAGTACTTAGATATCAAAGTGTTCAGTACTTATGCATGCGCAGTGTTAGCGTAAATTCAATATTAATTCTAGAAAGCTTATAGCATTCATTATAAAAATGCAATTTTGATGACTCACTAACTTTCAGCAGCTATGTGCACAATTGATGAAATTTATAGTCTAATTATGAAAGTAATACACTGTTAGAATAATATAAGAACTTTATAAAATTATAGCAGTGCAGATTTTTTAAAGGAATAAGTTTGATTACAAATATAGTTTCTGTTATTTGCTCTCCGGTTGCATTGAAATTGAAAATTATTTTTTTTTTGTATATTATAATGTATATTACAAATATGACCCATAAACTGTTTCATAGCCAAGATACTGTTGATGGTTGTATTCTGATTGTATTTTTGTTTCCATCTGTTCTAAGAAATACTATGATTTTCGTAGTCCTACTTTGATATGAATAAAGATTATTTTAAAATCTTTGCTTCCTTTAAAAAAAAATTGAATGAATTTTTTTAATTATATAACTTTAAAATTCAGTTTTTGTTAAAAAGCGAAGTGGATTAAAAAGAGTTTTTAAAAATCGGGATAAAAATTTACGAAAAATTGTCAAATTGCAAATTAGTGCCTAATTATGTTTATTATTAAGTAATTCTTTGACTTATTTTGAGTTTTTAGAACAAGTAAACCAAAACAATGAAACAAATGTTTGTATTGATAATTAATTAATTATTCATAAAACATCAGGTATTTAAATAATGGCAATTAAAATTTTTAATTCGGCCGGATAATCCTCAATTAATTAGTACCAGATGAAAAACACTTTCATATCTGACATAAACTTATCAAAGAGTTTCTGCCATTATTTTGATAAGTTAAATTGAATGATGCATTAATTATTCTTCAAATCCAGAATTCCGGAGAATTGAGCAATTGTTAGGAAACATAAAAGCCTCTCTTTCAATTCTTTGGAATAAAACGTTATTTTAAACACTGGCAACTAGGAGAAAAATTTTCCTCGCCTTCTAATCAACATGTGGCAAATCTCCTTAACGACTCATTTTTAGGACTCATCAATAATTAATAGATTTTCCAGTTAATCACATTTTCCTTGAATCTCTTTAAAGCGCCATAAGACTTCAAAATAAACACCTTCTCCAACAAACTTTCCCCTTTTCTATTGAACCTGATAATTAGATCCGCTCCAAGTCTATTTTTTAAGAAATCTTTTCCACAGCAAACGCTTTACCTAGAGTTTGTTTGTACGTGGGTTATAACTTCTAGTAATTAAAATTTGCCGCTTACAGATACGAAAGGCAACCCTATTATGATGTGTGGGGTATGCAGTGCACCATATTTTCCTGGGATTGCGGGGGTGGCACGAGGGTAAAAGTTTCGTTTCGTGACCATTGTTGAGAGTAAGGCAGGCAACAATGAGAATGGAGGGGGTAAGGGGATTAATAGTGGGCCGCCTTTGCGTTCTCTTTTGTGCCGATGAACAATGGTGAAGGTGCCAGCGTAAAAGCAGTCCGGGAGTTTTCCGGATTATTCCTAAGTTGTATTCGCTCTCCCGGGTTGCCGGTCCAAAGAAATGTTTTTACTTCTTCTTCTCGCCAAGTTTTCGGAAGAAATTTGAGATTAAAATTCTAAGGTTGGTTTTAAAATTTTGTATTGGGCGTAATAATTTTGGAATATATTTCTAATGATGATAAGCATTGAAAAATTTACCCTTCTATTTTTTTAAATTGTTTTGTTAAAAATTTTAAACAGGTAACTTAATAGAAGCTTGATTTAGGCTATAAACGAATGATGGAAAACTAAGTACATAGCCAGTCTACTTTCCACTTTTTTAACATAATTGCCCGCCCACCGGTGATTGGTGTACGCTAAATCTGCCAGGGTCACTCCAAGTTCCCATAACGTTTAACAATCAATACCTCTGGGGTAACTGGATTGAAAAGTGACCGTACTGTAGTTCAGATCAAAATTACAATCTGTAGATGAATGGATAATCTGTGAATGTGGCCTCCCTGTGAAACTGGATGTGAAGTGTGTGTGAACAGGTGTGTTTGTCGTCTTCGGATCATTCTCAGGGATGTTTCTCAGACAGCTGCCAGTACAGCTTTAGAGCGACGAAAATAAAAGGACAAGTACTTAAAATAATTGCATTAGTATTCGAGGACCAAAGTTAAAAGCTCGTTACACTTGAAAAAGATAAATGGTATAACATATTAGGTGTGCAATTTCAAAATGCATATTGTTTTGTTTTTGTCTTTACAAATAATTCAATTTTACCTATACATTGCCATTTTCTGAGATTCACTAAATTATCATTTAACATATTCTTGTAATATTTTCAATTCTTTCTAAGGAGAACATTCTTTATCGTGTTACATAAATATAAAACAGTGTTACTTCCAAATTTTCATCTATCGGCAAAAAAAAGCCAATGCATTCGCAGTCTGCAACATGATGCAATTCAACTTAGAATCGTGGCAAATTATAATGATCGAATGTAATTATGGGGTCAAATCTTCTTTATAAATAAAGATTTTCGTCAAGAGTTTCCGATTTTGTTTTATTTATAATAACTAATCATAAAGATTTCTAAATTGTATGAAGATCCTTTTCTTATTTCTAGTTAGTATTTACCAAAGGATTGTGCATTTAAAGTACGTGCTATTTGATGATTTTTATAATGTAAGTAATACGAATAAAAATGATTTGAAGATATAATATTATCATGATCACAATATTTCAAATTAAAGAACAAAAATTTTTCGATCTAAATTTCCAATCCATTTTTAAATAGCAACAATATTATTAATTTGAGTTTTTAGCAATCAGTAAAAACTTAAGAAGACACAAAATATAACACGATTCTTTAAAAATAAATTGTAAGTAATAAAAACAGAAGTATTCCGCAATATCATATTAGCTAATGATGCGAATAATTTTTATTACTTCAGAACTTAGAAGAGCGATAACTCGCCAAAAGGTTACCCCATGCTTAAGAAAATACAAGCAGAGAATGGCAACGAGTTTTGGTCCGGCTGGACAGAGTAGATAAGGTAAAACTTTTCACACATCTTCTCTTGCCATTAAATACATAGGATATAAATCGAATTGCCACATTTATAGTCCGTGTAGTAATATTTAGTGACCGCCATCTCTGCCCAATACTTCTATGGAAACTTAATCATGGCCAAACCGAATCCGCAAGTTGGCCATCTCTCACAACCTTAAATGGCCAATCCAGAAAGGAGAAACCTTTTATAATATTGGATTTTGACTGTGCCATGTGTGGAATTTCTTTAGGTAGAGTGTGTGGTCGATTTTGCTGCTCAGTTTATGCCTTTGGAATAAAGTCACTTTATTCTAAATGTTAGGATTTAGAAAGCAGAGTTGAGAACCTAAATTCTATCTTAAAGTTTGAGTTCTTAAAATTTTTGCATTTGAAGTTCTTTTAAAAGATCTGTTTATGAGCATTCTTTTAGGGAAAATGTGATCTAACTTTAATNATATATTAATATAAGTGTTTCTTCAAATTCGTTAGGATGAAATGCCGATTTGAATTATGCTTTAAACATTCGAGTCAAATTTGTATTTCTAATGCAATACTTTTCAAAACCATTCAAAGTAATATTTTTTTAAAAGTTACAACAAAATATGTTTTAAAAACTATATTTTTTTATGCGAGTAAGATCAAAACATAAACGAATACAGTTAATTTTCTGGTAGTTTCGATACAATTCCTTTAAATTTTGAAAAACGAAAAGTCCTTTGGTATGTTTGGTAATATTCAATATAATAAGTAGCTTGCTCCTTTTCCTTTTTGTCTCTAAATATCGGAATAATAACAGAAAACATTAAAATGAAGAGGAATTGTTAATTATTTTGTCTTTTTACAATATAGCGCTCCCCTATATTATTTTAAGAATATTTTAAACTGAACAGGAAAAAAGTTATAAATATACAGAAAAACTAATTAAAATACAAATAATAATAATAATAAAAATATTTACCGTATACAGTGAAGGCAGCGTTTCGGGACCGGATACCATTTACACCATCGGCAGCTCCAACTTGGCACTGAAATAAAGCATCGTCTTCAAGTGTTACGCTGCCAATTTGAAGTGAGAAATCACCTGTAAATAAACAAAATGCAAGAATTAATTATAAAGCGAGATACAATTTTTCTAAAGAATGATTGTAAAGCAGTTGTCAAAGTAATTTACTAAAGAGTATTATTTAAAGAACTACTGTAAAGTAGTTGTCAAAGGGATTAATTGCAAACTTCAAGTATAAACATAAAGCAGAATTTTTTTAAATTAGAATTAAAAGAATTAGTAATTAAGTATTAGCAATCACTGATTAGAATTAGATTAATTAGGAATTAATTGCAAATTTCAAGTATAAATATAAAGTAGAAATTTTTTTAATTAGAATTTAAAGAATTAGTAATTAAGTATTAGCAATTAGAAATTAGAATTAGATTAATTAGGAATTAATTGCAAATTTCAAGTATAAACATAAAGCAGAATTTTTTTAATTAGAATTAAAAGAATTAGTAATTAAGTATTAGCAATTAGTAATCAGAATTAGATTAATTAGGAATTAATTGCAAAATTCAACTATAAATATAAAGTAGAAATTTTTTTAATTAGAATTTAAAGAATTAGTAATTAAGTATTAGCAATTAGAATGAGATTAATTAGGAATTAATTGCAAATTTCAAGTATAAACATAAAGCAGAATTTTTTTAATTAGAATTAAAAGAATTAGTAATTAAGGATTAGCAATTAGAAATTAGAATTAGATTAATTAGGAATTAATTGCAAATTTTAAGTATAAATGTAAAGTAGAAATTTTTTAAATTAGAATTTAAAGAATTAGTAATTAAGTATTAGTAATTAGTAATTAGAATTAGTAATTATTAATAATAATAACAATTAAATAAAAAATGAACTGTAAAACAGTTACTAAAACACTTAACTATATAGATTATTGTTTAAATAACTACTGCAGAGTAGCTGTCAAAAGGATTACTTGCCAATTTCAACACTGTAAGAATTTTCATTCTAAAATTAAGGCAAAATAACCGGCAGTAGTCTGTCCATCCAATTAACCATACAGTTTATGGTTAGGAACATTAATTATCTTTATGGTTTAGAAACTGTTTACAATTGATGTGGTAAAAACCCATTATTACCAGACTATGCTCTTTCGTAACCATTTACAACTAGCATGGTTTTAAAACTATAAAAAGTGAAATTTAACTGGATATTGGAGTTAGGTTGTGGTTGAGTTGTATTTTGACAAGTGAACTTTCTGTGTTAAGCAGATCTATGTGATGCTGCCATTATGAGTGAACGTGAGTTTCGTATTCCAATAGACCAAAATCACGTAGGCCATCGGAACTCCTCACGTACAGAAGAAATGAAAGATATATTGTGGTGTGAACACTGAGATTTGAATCCTCGTTCAGCCGGTCATGAGATTGACAAATTAGCCCTCTCTGCTAAAGTATGTACAGAGAAGCTAGGAACTCTAGTTGTTAAAACAGTAGTAAATGAAAACAGTTAACAGTTTAAATACCAACGTTTTCATGGTTGTTTTACTGTTTGGTTGAATATGGTAAAATAACAATTAAATAAATTGTAAACTAGCTATCTTTTCCGAGAAATTTCTAACAGTAAAGAATATATTGTAAAGTAGAATAAAATTTAGTGAAAAAAATTAAATAGGAATTGTTAGAATTTGTTATAAAGCCGAAGTATACCAGTTTATTGAAAGAAAAAAGTAGAATAAGATTTCATCATATACAATTGTACATATATATATTTCAAAATCAATAGTAATACTCAAAAAATAATATAAAGCAGGATGTTATTTAAAAAAAAAATAATTAAGTTTTGATTCGTCACTGTCTATATTATAACTATAAATTAAAAAAATATATGACAAAATATGAATCAGGATAACAGTTTAATAAAAAGTTAATAGTCTCTCAAAAAGTATATTAATGTCGCATTCGAAAACTTTTTTCCAAGTTAATGATTTTATGAAATAGTTTGTCTATATTTTGATACGAAATAGTACGTACGTTAATGTATATAAACCTAAATCATCGCTTATGACATCAAATTTGGAAAAATAAACTTAACAACGAAAAGGTAAAAATATATAACTGCTTTTTGAGTCGCAAAACTATATTTCTGAACAATTCTCGGACAAGTCAAGTAAAATCTTTTTATTGTTTGGCTGCAAGAAATCTCGCGCTTTTTCTAGTTATTTATTAGCCAAGCCCGTCAAATTTAATTGTTTTTATGGCTTATAAGAAGGATTTAATCTGCCAAAATTTCGCCCCTTTTTGAAAAGTGCAGTTATATACTTTTATTCTTCAATGGAGTAAAAAAGAATTTTATCGTTTGCTAAAGCCAAGACTGGCATGAAGAATACGAATAACATCGATTTTTCTTTGCTTCTCTTTGGAACCATTTAAAAACTTAAGTATTTTTTTAAAATTTATTTTTCTGATATTTATATTAATTTCTTTTTTAAACTATTTTTTTTGCGTGAAAACGTTTTATCTTAAAATTACTTGGATATGTAACTTTTAACAGACAGATTAAAAAAACTCCGGCTACGGTTGCGGTATCCGGAGTTCATATTTTGCCATTTTAATCGGGAAATGTGAAAAAGGCTTTATTTTTATATTTAAAATTGGCAACTACAAAAAAAGAAGATCTGTTACTGTAAATATTTCAAGCACTCACATTAATATAAAGGTTCACCATCATAAATCTAACAGTAAAAGGGCCATAAGAAATGGACATAGCAAACGATAGCATTTTTCAGAATAAAGATAAAACGTATGGTTGATTTATTTACTATTTTCCATAAGTGATGAATTAAAAGTCAATCAATAGAATGGTTGATTTATAAGTACGAGTGCTTAATAGCATACGAAGATAATCTGTTTTTTAATCTTCTTTTTTAATCTAAGATTAAATTCTTAATTGTCAATTCTAAATATAATTTTAATTGTCAATACTAAAGATTCTTAATCGCAAAAAACTAAATAATTTAAAGAAAATATAAGCAAAATTCTGTCCATACAAAATTTTAAATTAATGAAAATATTTCTTACAATTTAGTTTAAATGGGAGTCATGCATTGTGATGAAAATTAGGACAAAATTCTTGAGGTTTGAGTGGTCTACCCACAAAATGTATAATGCGAGCACACGCATACAAAGAGCATAAAAAAATCATCACAACGGATTTCATTGTATTGTGATCAATTACCGTGTAGTTCAATTTAATGAATTTTCCATGCTTTTTTTTTAGATTTATAATAACACACACAAAAAAAGCATGAAATGTGCACCACAATGCTTTTCATTGTACTGTGATTTGTTTGTTGGATCCAATGCCCCATAGCAAACTGTGATAAGTCCCATAAAATGTTTAATTATTTTCTGAGGCATAAAAAAATCTATGTTTCGCATTAAAAAGGGATTAAGTTCATCTCTAATATTACTTTTCCCAAAAAATTAGAGAATTTCATTATGTTTTGAATCAGGTTGTTTTCAATATTTAAAATAGTTTGTTCAAAGGAGAAAATTATGGTTCGAAAATATGGAAATCGCACACATTATTTCAGCTTTGAAATGTAAATATACGGACTGAATATGACAAAACCAGACAGAGAAATCAACACTTTTGATTTTTTGGCTAGACGCATGAAATATCAGTAAAGTGTTTTCGCTGTGAAGACAAACAAAGGGTTTTTTTGAGTCTCAAAAGAAACTTGTTCTTCTTTAACACTTAAACTTGTCTCATTTTTTTCAATTTTACTTCTATTATATTATTTGATTTTCTCACGTTTCTTCCATTATTTTTTTTCTTTGAAGCGAAATTGGCTAGGCATTTGGAATATATGGATTTGCATGTGAAAATAGAGCTGTTTTAGATTACTTTTTATTTTGTCTGATTGTTCTATATAACAAAGGGTATTGGTGATAAGAAAAAAGAAATTTTTGAGGATTGAAAACTTGACTAAATAAATTCCAAGAGTTGTTTTGATTATTCTGTGAGATTATTCTATGATTCTTTTTGATTATTCCGTGTGACCATAAAGAAATATATGGGGTTAGTGTTCGAATGATATGGATCATTACTTCACAAAACTGCGAAACAAGATCTTAAATTTTTTTCGTAGGTATTACCAATATTTTTTAATTTGCTCTGTTCAGATTTATGGTATTTGCGTTTTCTATCAACATTTCTTTAAAAATGACAAAAAAATTTACCTCATATAATAAAAACACTCAAAAATGAGTATAAATAATAAACCTTTTTTTATAGTTTTATTACTTTGTTGGTTAGTAAAAATTGTTTCACAATAATCAGCTACAGCTATTTCTCACAATTTTTTTGCATACACATCTAGATCTGTCCAAAGATTTGATACAACTACCCTCTGGCAAATACTGCAAACGCCTTTTATGCTCGAATGCAAGTGCAAATGGTCTCAAAACACTATTTAAATTCATGGACTAGTTTTAATATATTCTGGTCAGGACATGGCGAAAATTACATAAAGAAATCAAACAATATTTATTAACTTTCCCCTTCAAATTCACTAAGCAGAATTTCTAGAATATTATTTTGATCTGTGAATCGGATAGACTTGGGCCAACATAGTGATAAGTTACACTTTTTTCGAAGATCCTCTTTTATCTACTCTCTGGTGGATACTGTACAAAATTTTCTAAAATTCCACCAGATAGCAGCAGAATACGTAAAAAAATGTTACTGACTTTCAAGGAAATCATGGTATTTTTCACAGCAATTTGAACAATTTCTGAACAATTTGAAAATAAACATGGTTTCTCATTATATTGGCCCAACACACTCTCATAGACATTCATAGTTATCAAGTTATTTCATCGCAGATCTATGTAGTTTGGTGATGTATTGAAATAACAATCCGAATGTAATATAATGTATTTTATTCCCGAGAGATTATAAAACAACTATTAAAAGTGATTATAGTCAAAATTGCAACTCTATCTCACAGTGGCGTGTTATTGGTACTTAAGATGTTTATTAACCTTTTCCTTACGGTGTATCAGTTATCACATTACACGTGGTCTACATGTTGTACCAGCCGTAATCAAAAGGTTAAGCACCTGAAATGTTGAAGCATTGAAATGAAGCGTTGAAATGTTTAAGCATCTAAAATGTCCATAAGACATTTTGTAAAATGCTCTTATTGAGAAATCATTGTTAATGCCATCAAGATTACCTTACTTTCAAACCTGTATCAATTGGTTGATTTTTTAATTTTTCACTTGCTATGTCGTACAATACGGCGTAGTTAATCTGTATCAATTGATTGTTTTTTAATTTTTCACTTGCTATGTCGTACAAGATGGTTTCCAGAACGATGTAGTTAATCTGTATCAATCGTTTTTTTTTAAATTTTTTCACTTGATGTGTCGTACAAGATAGTTTACAATACGGCGTAGTTAATCTGTATCAATTGATTGTTTTTTAATTTTTCACTTGATGTGTCGTACAAAATGGTTTGCTGTACGGCGTAGCGAATGAAAGGGAAAAATATTTGTCGCTATTAGCAACTACAGCACGTATAGATTGGTGCAGTTCAACTCATCTAAATCTGTAGATTGGTTGTTAATAACTATCATGAAGATATTAATTGATTTAACTTGCCTTCATCGTCACTGCCGACCATGGTGTATCTTGGGAAGCCTTTTAGTTCTCGGTCCGAACCCAGACCGAAACCGTCTCTCGTCCACTGCAGAGTGCCAACTTTATTCAGAACTCGACATGGTAGGACGGCCGGTTTTCCTACAATAGCAGTCCTATCTGCAGGTTCTATGGCAAATTTTTGGGGTGGCCTTTGTACATCTGAAAAAATAAAAGAAGCAAGAAAATATAGTGAATCAGAATATCATAAAATTTACCGTGTAATATGCGAAAACAAAAAAGCTCGGTAATTTTTACCAAAGTTCTTTGGTATTGATTTTGGTAATATTATCAATGAAATACGAAAATATGGTATTATAACGAGGAAAATTTTGGTAAATATGACAAAAAGTGATAATTTTACCATTATAACATAGAGCATGGCATAAAAACAATTTATTCGGTTAAATTTACATTTCAGTTTTGTGTTTTTTTTCTAATGAGTGGTAATAGGTATTATAAAAGTAACCATATGAACGGAAAAAGTACCAAATGGTATAAATACCGTATATTTTGGTTTTATTAGCCAGAGATTTTTTTCTCTGTCTATTGCAATTGTAAAAGAACTAAATATTATGATATTGAAAGTAAAAAACTGCATGTTTCATATCTTCCATTGAAACTAAAAAAACTTAATTGAACAGTTTGAAATTTATATTTATTAACAAAGTAATTTACCTTGCAATAAAATTAATTTATTGTGTTTTGAAACCATAAAAGTTTTATAATTTGTTCTCCTAAATTAAATTATTCCTATATAAATGATAATACATAAAACAACTTGAAAAGAATAATAAACGTAAGCGTTTGAAATTAGTTATCTTACAAAGCATGTTTCAAATTTATCAACAATAAAAACTTTGTTTCGAATTACCCAATTGGTTCAGTCCATAAAGAAATTAAAACTATTAAATAAAACTTGTTAATTTATATAATAATATTCATATAAAACGGGCTCAATTTATTTTATTTTCAAAATTAACATATGGAAAAATAAACTGTCAATACTTAACCTAAAAAAGTCCAACAATGTGTATTGCCAGTGTAAATATGCAGACGCTTACGTTACAGCATTAACAAAATGCATAGAAACGAATTAGTGTTTCAAAAAAGTGTTTATGCCGTTTTTCAATCTGATTTTGGCGTTGACAACACAAAACGGGTTAAAAAACAAAATAAATATAAAGGGTTTAAAAAAATAATTTTGAACCAAAATAATAAAAAAAAACATTTCACAATTTGTTCCTATTCATTATGTTCACACGTGCATTGACTCACTAAATTTGCAAGTTTTTTTTTAAAAATCAAATAAAGGTAAATAATAGTGGGCGATGTTGAGTTTCTCTTCTGTAAACATTTTAGATTTCAAAACATTTGTTATGGTTCATCATTTTAAAAAAGAAATATTATACTGTTGGGGTGGATCTGGAAAAGAAATATTCTTAGAAAAAAGAACATTGCTGATGACTGATTGCACATGAGTCATTACACATGTTTAGATATAGGACAGAGCTTTTTTGTAAGCTATTTATTTTAAAACGCGATCAGGTCCAGATCCGATTGAGTGTAAAAGTAAAGAAGTCTGTAAAGAAACTGGACGAGTCTTTGGAAAGAATCGTTACGCTAAAAGGCACTTTGTCTTAAAAGTAATACAAAGTACATAGAAAAAAATTTTTTCGAGCAAAAAGCATTAAAAAAGTATTATTTTGCTTATAGCATTGATTATAAACTTAAAAAGATTTGTTGCTTCAAGTGCACGGCAAAATAGTCTGGAACAAATTACGGTATAAAGTACCTGCACTTTGGTTGAATCATCCGTAATATATTATACCGTAATTTTTACAGAAATAATTATTTAATAAAAGTGATTCAGTGATTTTATGATAATTATTGCCATAAAAATTACGGTATATCAAATTTTTTGTTCCGCAACATGTTCCGATGAAAATGGATTTTACGATAAAAAAAAAAACCGGCATTCTTAGTGCCGGTACTTTTTACTGCAATTTGATTCGGAATTTTTTGCAGTGTATATATTATGAAAGTTTGGAAATGATGTTTTAAGTCATTTATTTGTGGTTTTTTAAATTCATGAAAAAAATTAGTTAAAATTATCAGAATATGGTAACATTTAAAGTGCTGCTGGCTTTACGGGAATACTAAAAATCTCGGTAATTTTTACCGAAGTGCTTTGGTAGTGATTTTGGTATAATTAACAATAAAATATGTTTCTGTAATATGTGATAAAATTTAGTAGACGTGATAAAATTTGGTAATTTTATCATGCTACTATAGAGAATGGAATAAAAACCATTTATTCGGTTAAATTTACTTTTCTGTTTTGTATTTTTTACTAAATGTATGGTGATAGAAACTATAGTTTTGAAAATATTTATATATATTTCATGACCATATGAAAGGACACATTACCAAATTAATGGTTTAAATAACGTATATTTGGGTTTTATAAACCAGAATAATGTTTTTTAAAATTTTTTTTTATTTTACAGTACGATGATTTCACCAGAACATTTTTCTCCATGTTTAATGGAATAACTAAATCATGTTTTTGGCTTACATGAATGAAGCTTGGATATATGCCAAGTATAACATTTAGATAGTTAAGATTTATGCCCTAATTCAATTAATTTCTTCATAAACAAATGAAATATCTTACAAAATTATAAAAAAAAAATTACGTCAAATCAGATGTAGGAATAAATTGCTCAAATAATTTTGTTGCGCAATTTTAGCATAAATGTACACTGCACAACACCGAAAATAATTTGTGTACACTTTTCAATTTATTCCCTGCTCTTGATGTAAAAGTTTTTGTTAAAATTTTTTAAGTATTTGTTAAAATATTTTTCATGAGTATTTAGTGAAAAATACATTTAGATGTTTCATAGGGGGCATTTATGCTATAATTCCATAATTATATTTAATAAGTTTCTTCTATTAAACATAACTAATTAAACTGCACTTTAAAAAATTTCGAATCAAATTACGGTAAAAAGTATCGGCACCATGAGTGAGATACTTTTTTATGGTAAAATCTCTTCTTTTACTGAAACATGTTACGGATTATAACATCTGATATACTGTAATTTTTACAGCAATAATTACCGTAAAGTTATTGAATCACTCTAATTAAATAAATATTACTGTGAAAATCACGGTATAATATTTATGTTAAACATGGATTTTACTTGATGATGTACCCAAAGTGTCGGTACTTTATATCGTAATTTTTTACAGTGGACTATATCAATTATTTTATTTCATTCTTATTTTATTGCTACGACAAAAAAGGGTCACATAAATCGCTTACAAAAAATTTTGCTTTGTTGTAAATTAAAAATTTCAGGAAAATGAGAGAGCTTATTTGTTTTAAAATAAAATGCTTAATGACGTGGACAAACGTATCTAATCATTAAATTACCCTGAAATTGATTTGTGCAGCACGTTTTTAATTTAAACGATTTTCAAAATTGATTTCCTCCTCACAAACTCGTAATTTTCTTTCTTGATCAATAATACCTTTCCTTCATTCTGAAACATTTATTCGAAAAAGACACGTATGTAAGCCACATCGCGGCCTTCCAAGTGGCATCAAAAATATTCACACTGCACGTTTTCGTAACCGCAAACCGTGCTGGCCTCACGTAGTAATTACCGCTCGGTTACATCCATAAAGCTTGCGTCAAATTACTGTACTTAGCAAATTGAAGCGGCCTGGTCGATTCCGTTATACACGCTGGAGTTTTAGTACAAGAAAATGCACTAATGCTTATGAAACCCAAATCTAAAGAGGCGAATGAGAAACATGCATTGACTGGCACGTCCTTACAAATAGACAATTAGGAACTGACGTATTCTTTTTAAACGATCTTTCTCATTTCACGGGTTTATGGAGAACCATTAAAAGTAAATGCTGATATGATCGGGTTGTCTGTCCTTTTATTGGGTCATAATATTAAAGGGAGTTATTGTAAGGGAAAAGATGTGACAGTTTAATAGTTTCTTTTTTTTTTGTTGTTGCCTGATTAGTGTTTGGTTATTGTAGTTTGGATAGTTTCAGTACGATGTGAGAAATTACTTGTAACAATATTTCTATAGTCTGCTTTTTCCTAAATTTTTGCTAATAAATTCTCGTATCGGAACAGACTTTAAAGCACGATTTTTTACACATTTTTATGTGTATTTTATAAATGTATTTGACACGTAATATATACTGTTAAATATACCAAGTTATTTGTAACATTAGTCACCTTCTCCTGAATTTTAGCTGAAAAATTCTTGTATCAAAAAAGGTTTTAAAAATCATTTTTTTAAATTTTTTAAGTGTAATTTATCAATATATTTTATATGTAATATACAGAATTAAATTTATGTGTTTCGTCTATCGGAAAAGGTTTTTAACCCTTTTTATGTGTATTTTATAAATATATTTTACACGTAATGTACAATATTAAATATACTAGCTTCTACTTTAGAAAGTTTCTACTAAAATTGTACGAGGATATAAGTTGATACCGTATGTTTTTCGTGTATCGAAAAAGGTTTTAAACTTCAATTTTTTAAACATTTTTTATGAGTATTTTATAAATATATTTTACTCATAATATAAAATATTAAATATACTAGCTTCAATTTTAGACAGTTTGCATTAATATTGTTCGAGGTTATAAGTTGATACTGCTGTTGTTATTAGTGTTTCGTAATAAGTTGATATAAGTTTTCCGGGTGTCTGATGTTTTTAAAGTTATATTTTTTAAACTGTGTTTATTCTTTGACACAATGTTTCACTGTTCTCGATGAAAGAATTGATCATTATGATATCATTAATAATTTTAGTGTTATACTAAAAACAATATTTTTTATTTTAGTTGTTATACTAAACAAACGAGCATTTCTTTTTATATAACGATAGTTTATGGGAATTAGTTAATTTAAATTCATTTTATGATCAAGTTATCTTCCTATTTTCTGTCTAAACGCTTTTAGTATGGTAATGATTTGTAAAATTTGTGATATTTTCCTTTTTGAAATCTATTAACCTATACCAATTTTTGTTATTTAACGACTTCATTGCAAGATTAAAGCCCGAGTCTTATATATCGGGGCACAAAAGCCAGACTTTAAAAAATATTCAGGTAAAT